GAGAGAGAGAGAGAGAGAGAGAGAGAGAGAGAGAGAGAGAGAGAGAGCACACTGCTGCAGACATGTTTAATGCATCATAGGACAATGTGGTTTTAAAAGGTTTTTCTGTGTTATAAGCACTGGAGGAAAACAATTTGATATGTTCTCTCAATATGTTCAGTCGATTCCACTCAAACTCTCATTTGTTTTTATACATTTTTTGAAGGCGAAGGTTTTGACAATCAGACTTCCAACAGCTGCAGCCTAAAAATGTTTTTTCAGTAAAAGGAAGCTGTAAATGAGAACGTATTGAGTGGGACCTAAACTTTCTGAAGGTGGTGGATTTCTATTACCACGAGGTTTCATCAGCCATGACATTGTGAAGCAGCTCCTGGACCTACTTTTGAAATTGTATTCTTTTCTCAGTTCAAATGTAAAGCTTGTTGCGTAGTGCATAGTGTTTCTTGGTATTTCTGACACTGTGTGGGTAAGTAGAGCGAGTGGGTTTATGTACGTACAGAATATCGAACACAAAACACTTAGTTCAATCTTATCATCAGGAAAGATACGGAAATCCCCGTCATAACATTTTATTCCATCCAGAGCAAAATCTGTTTTTCTGATCTTGTGCCGATGAATCACATTTCTGCTCCAAGTCTTTTCCAGCACATTCCCTCCGGTATTAAGTGCGAGACTTTTAAGTGTCCTGTGCGGGTGCGAAAAAGATGTCTCAAGCTCCCTGAAGACAGTTAGACAACCTTTTGTAGTTCCATCAATCTCCAGCAAATAGAGAGTTTTGCCTGCTTGATGCAGAGCGGCTTGACCCTTCAGAAACAGAGCACTGCCACATCTATTCCACAATCTATTCCACATTCTATTCCACAAATGCAGGGTGAGGCTTCCAAGAGAATTATTTGAGGAATGAGAAATTCTCCAAGGCGTCAGTTTGGATTCAATCACTGAGAGCTGAGACATATAAGTCACAGCAGTATTTAGAAAAAAAACAATCTGCTGGCTTGATGGAACCCAGGTAAGGGTGGTGTGTTGTTGTTGTGTGTCCGCTGCACTGCTGTCGCAGCTCAAGGTGAAGCTCGATATGAGGTTTTATACGCAGACTCGCGTGATGACGTTGAGAGCTTGTCAGATTATTAATGGAGAAAGACGAAAAAGGGGAAATGAAGCTTTTGGGCATTGTCTTCAGTCTTCGATTGTGCTGAGATAGTTGATTATTAGAAAAAGCAAAGACATCTGAGCAGTTTGGGGAAAGAAGTCATGATTTTGTGGAGTTGTTTACAATTTGAACTGTGGCTCGGCTCCTCTCTGCTTCCATCAGACTGATATTACAAACCAAGGACAGTTTTGAAATTAACTTGAGTTGTATAAAAGCTTAAATGCTTTGGATAAATTGAATGCTTTGTGCACAGACTTCCATCAGATGGTGTCTAATGGAATGCTCAAGTAAATAAAAAAACTACCTCAAAAATTGAGCGTGGAACCAATAAGTCCCTTTAATGCAGCAGTTATTCCAGCTTTTATCCCTGAAACCTCAGAAGTTCAGCTCTCGTACTCAGGAGATGGATTATTCCTTATTATATTGTCCAAACCATCCCAATTTATTTGGTACGTGTAATTCTTTCCATTGATATCTTTAGATAATAGGCTTTAAGCAGTGATTAAGAGAAATTTGGCTTGTCAAGTTATGGAAAAAAGTCTTTAATCATCAAGTCCTAATTAGCCTGCATTAATTAGTCAGGTCAGCAGTTCTTCTATAATTGCTTTAAGAGAAATGATCCAACAAGAGCAACAAATCACACCTTGAATCATAAGAATGTGTGTCTTTCTAGTCACAGCTTCACTTCAGATAGAAATAGATTAATAAATGTTCCCTCAAGTTCTACAGCTGTGCACAACAGAGCAGCTTCACAGAACTTTTTCCAACTTTTTCCAGAAAAGGGAAATAGCCCACAGAGACAGAGCTCTCATCACAGTTTGAAGCACCGTTTTGAATTTAGTTTTTGATGTTTTTTATTTCTTGATTTAAAAAGAAAATAGGAAAATAGAAAAAAAGTTTAAGAAAAGACAACCAAGTGCTGCATCTTTGGAGAACAAGAACACACATAATGGCCACACGTAGGAAAAGACAGCCTCTGAAAGTAAAAAAAAATAAAAACCAACAGAAAAATCTACTAGCAACTCGCCTATGAAAAGTTCCCCCTGACCAACGAAAAGCCCCAAGAAATGAGGAGAGAAATTGCAGGAGAGCCACACTTTAGCCCGGGAGGTAGCAAGGAATGGCTCCAGATAGAGTCTCCATGACAACCAAGAAACCCACAGCAACTGGCCAGGGTCCCGCCGGGCACCAGCTGCCCAGCATGGGTTGGGTCAGACCCCACCGGCCAACAAAGAGCTGCTAGCACCCGCACCGTGCCCGAGGTGGAGTGTCCCGGGGCCTCCACCGTTTGTTTCAACAGCCTCACATTTCACTTCTGATTTCTCACTTCAGTTGTTGGTCAGCCACGGTGTCCAAAATATTCCTTCTCTCTCCCAGCCTCTCCAAATGCCCCATGATCAAAGCAGAACCCGTCTGAAACAGCGCTAACTCTTCAAACCTAATTTTTCCAACAAATTTCCACTTTGTAGAACTTCTAAAAAATCCAGAAAAAAGTCATTCTCCCATGGAAGCATCGCTGTGATATGTAACGGTATGATGTCCTGTGTTAAGACACATTATTATGAGGACTTGTTGTTACAACATAGAATTCAGACAAGTAATCCAAAGAGACTGTCCTACATTACCCATTCATTATCTTTATTACAGGCACATACAGTGGGGGAAATAAGTATTTGACCCCTTGCTGATTTCGCAGGTTTGCCCACTTAAAAAAGAATGCAACGATCTATAACTTTAATCATATGTACATTCTAACAGTGAAAGACAGAATCCCAAAGAAAATTGCAGAAAATCACATCACATGAATTTATAAAAATTGATAACCATCTGATGAGGAAAAATTAGTATTCTTTGTAAGTGGGCAAACCTGCAAAATCAGCAAGGGGTCAAATACTTATTTCCCCAACTGTAGGAGAAATAGTTCTACATGTTTCTCCTACTAGAAATGGTTCTACATGTTTCCTCATGTAGAACTTCTGTTAACATTGTCTGCTTGATAACAAAGTGTGGTGACCTTAACTTTCACAATTTCCCCAACAACTTTTCCATTTTCACTCGAGAACAATTTTGAAATCAAAGGGTTTCTGCGTGTATGATATGATGAGCAAACGCTCTCGTGTTTTTTTTCTTTTCCTCTTTCAGCTGTATCCGTCTCTGTGCGAGCTGGCCCACGTCCTGTCGGTGGACGGCCCCGTCAGACAGCGGCTGGACACTCTGGCCGGGGAGCTGGCCAAGGCTGCCGACAAAGAGCTGCAGGTGGGCCCTGAAGCCCGTCCCTCTCCGCGGGTCCTCCTGATCCGTTTGTATCTTAGACCTCTGGGAACTAATTGCATTGAAAGGGAGGTGACCCCATGGGGACGGTATTCTTTGGACCGGTCTGTGGAGGGAGTTTTCCTCCCTGGACGGGTCAGCTCACCTGGGTAGCTTTGCGTTACTCAAAGTGTACGTGACACAGCGGGGGGGGGGGCCGGGTCTGTTTCAGGTGGTGGTGGACTCCATGGTGTCCCTGTGTCGGGAGCTGTGCCCCATGTCCTGCTCGGCCGCCGACCGGCTCAGCCCGCCTCTCTCCTCCATCTCCGAACAAGTCTCCATCCCCCGCTCGGCCATCCGCAACGCCATGATGGAGCGGGCCGCCGAGGACATCAACAGAGCGCTGGAGTGAGAAATGCACGGCCGGCCCAAATGGTTGTGGTCAATAAAAGACCTCCAGCGAGAAGTGATAGTTTTTTTTTTGTTTTTTTTTTCCCCCATTAGAGAGGTGAAGCTGTCCGTGGTCTCCTACCTCACTAACTCCATAGTGGATCAGATTCTGCAGGAGCTCTACACCACCCATAAAACACTGGTACTGGTAATATCCCTTTTCTGCATGCCTTCTTGTAGTTTCTAGAAATTAGAATGACTCGGACCATGTTTGACCCGTGTTAACCTCCTGAGACCCTACGTCTTCATATGAGGACATTGCATTTTTTTCCTCTTTACTATGATACTTCGTTTTTCTTTGGTCTTTCACCTCTTGGCCTTAAAGTAGATGCTATCAGACACTAATGTTTGAAATCTAGAGTAAAATGGTTTTAGACATTTTCAAATAGTTATGTTTTTACTGTTTAATTAAAGTTTTGTAACTAAGTTATTTGGACCGTCAGAACCAAATTGCAGGGAAGAAATTCAATATATAAACACACATTTTAGATATAAAGATAAACCTACTGGGCCTATAAGAAGAAAAGCTACCTGTACCATGACAAAGTCTTATTACTGAACTTATTAGGTCCTACTAATCCCATATATCTTGAAAAAAAGCAAAAATGCACACCAAATAAAAACTCAGGTCTCAAGAGGTTAAAGAGGTCAGTGGGACTGTGGAGCCGCAGACCAATGGGGGGGGCCTCTCTGTTTTGCATTCTGTCGGCTGCCTGTGCCGTTACCTCTCCTTCTCCTTCCTCTGTTTTGCCGCAGTGACAGTGTGTCCTCTGTCATGCCTCGCTCTGCTTTGATGATGTAGACGTTGCATTTAATTGATATTCTACTTGGGCTTTGCTAAAAAAAAGGAGTCGTAAAGTTAGCGGTTCCGGTGTTTTTTGAACTTCACAGACTCGGGCTGATAAGCAGCCCCTGTGAGATTGCCTTTAAGGATAATGATGTAAGTTAGCTGAGAGTTTGTGTGCACTCGGAGTTGAATGGCTTCATAAGTTGTGTGTGTGTGTTTCATCAGCTCCGGCAGGTGTCTCAAGCGAAGCGGTGGGACGATGTCGGGACGGGCAGACGGACGGTCAGACAGTCCAGACTAGTGGAGTCTCTAGACTTCCCCGATGAGGACTTTGGAGTCAACTTGGGAATTGTAAGATTTTCAGATGCAGAGTGAAGCATCAAAAAGGCTCAAAATTATGTTTATACACTGTTTATAAATGTGTTATTGAGTCATTGACCTGAAGTTAGTTGTCAGAATTACTAGGTTAAGCATAGCCAGGTTTCCCCAATAAAATATTTTTAATTAACTCATCGGCATAGAGGATGAACACCTTTTAGATGGCTAAAAAATGTCGGCAATTTGTTAGACCTGGAATACTCAGCTGTGCATTAACACGATCCTAAAAAGGAACAATATCAGCAATTTTCAACCTGGATGTGCTTTTAAGGCTTTTCTAAATGAGAAAGATTATAATAAGTTGAGCACGTTTAAAATATATTCACCCGTTTTCTCTTGCCAACAAGTAGTTAGCATCATAGATTTTAAAATAAATGGCAGGATTGCAGGAGAAGTTAAATCTTAACAAACTACATAACCAGTCAAACATCATTTTTGGACAGAGGAAACAAAAGTAGAAATGTTTGGAGCTCCTCTATTTTCAGGTATTCTGGAACATTCTAAAGAAAACCAACTCTGCTGCTAAAGGTGCTTTTACATGCGATTAAACAGGATGTTTTTGTAAAAACTGCCTACAGTCTCTGTCTTAGTGAACTAGCTGGGAAAACAAAGGTTATTATTATCAATCAAGCTCCATGTAAGTCTCCTTTCTGCTCATGTTTACCTTCTGCTTCAAAAGGACACCATGGCCATCAAGAAGAGGAGCTCTAGAACTAGAAGAATCCGTCCCGTCTCCACCAGACTGAGTGAGTCTTTTATTTCCCCTCATTTGTTCTTCCACCTCAATGATGTAAGTGTGCAGGAAACTTCAGATTAAAGCTTTTGCAGGAAAGCTAAGAGGAGCAAAGTGTTTTTCTTTGTTCTTTTTTTGTTCTTCTCATATGGGATGGGCTAAATGTTACTTCGTGACTAATTGCATTAAGGGTCTGACCTCATTTTAAGGTAAATCAAAGAGGTTTGATTAAAAGCCCTTCTTTTAAAACCCGTCTCCGATTTTCAAGGTCTGGGTGATGAGCCCAGTCCCTCCCCCACCCCGTCTGCGCCCCCCCACTCCGCCTCCCTCTCCCACTCGGGATCCATCACCCACTCGGCGTCGTGGGAGTGTCTGTCCACGCTGCCCACCAACGGATCCCCTTTGCGGCACGTGACCCACGTCAGGCCGCGTCCACCTCGGAGGCACCGGGCCGTGCACCTGCCCCCCGAATCGGTGAGTGCCAACCCCCCGGGGCTCCTAACCCACTTTTCAACTCCACAAAATGGAGCTGGGTCCATTTCTCTTTCCACAAAACGGGAAGGAGGTGAAACGATAAACCCGACTTGTTCTTTTTTTTCCTTTTCCTGTTTGTTTGTTTTGTATTTTTAATCCTTCGGCTGCTGTGTGTGATGCTACTCATCTGGTGTTTGTTGCCCGAGGCCCCCCATCCAAATATAAGTTTCTTTTGAAAGTGGGAAGCTGTTGCGAGTGACTCAAATGTTAATTACGCTCGGGCGGGTTCTCGGGGGGGCGTGGGGCGCGGGCACACTCAGCAGCTTTTGTTGTTTAAGCAGGGGAGAGAGTCCCGGTAAAAGCTCGATTCTAAGTCGGCGCACATTCACCGGGGCGGTGCGATAAGGAGCAGTTTTTTTGGCAGTGGATCGAGGTTTATCAGCCAGCTATTTAAGATTTAAGGTCTACCTCACAGGTTTTGTAGACCAACAGACTGACAGAGTTGTGCTTCCTGTTTTCTGTGAATTTGTTTCCATGCAGCATTGCTCTGAGAACGGAGGCGTCAGTATGCTGGAGGATGGGCTGCCTGATTTCTACAGCAAGAGAGTCCTCCCTGACAGGTAGAATCCAGAATCTGTTTGCTTTTGTATACACACAGTATTAACATAACACTGTATTCTCCCATGTCCTGTGACTGGTGACATCAGACAGGTAAAGAGCTGAGCATTCCCCATGGAGTGGATCAGGGAAACCACTCATATCTTCATTGTTTAAAATCCAGGAGCATATTCAGCAACAGTACATGGAATGTACTTCAAATAACAGAATTTGACAATTTATGGTGTCGTGCAAAGCTCTGCTGGAGCCGCTTCCCCTGTGAGGGCTTTTAAAACTCTAAAATTGCAAATGTAATTTTAACAAAAGTTTTTGTTTTGTTTTACCTTGTTTTAAGCAGAAAAAAATCGAACGTTTTTGGTTGAAAAGTTTGGAAAACCAACATTGCTGCTCAAGCAAAAAACTGGAAGAAGTAACTAAAGATCCTCAGGCGGTTTGTTTCCAGCATGCAGAAGGAAGAATGTTCAGATAAAAAAAAGCAGTACATTAACACTTATATAAAATACAGAATTCGAATGGTCGGATTTACCAGTTCCCTTGCTTATAAAGGGTGTCATACACATTTCTGACAGTTAAAGAGATTCATTTTATTTTTCATGTATAACTTAAGTAATGTGCATGCTTAAACATACTTCACCTGCAGTCCAGATTTCTCAGACTGCACAGATTGTATTTATCAGTTCTGAGTTATGTTTTGTTTAGTCAGTGAATCTCAAATGGCTATAAGGTGTTTACATGAGAATTGGCTGTACCTGTGAATATTCTCATTCATCCAGGTCATGGTCAGCTTGACAAGTTCAGTTTAGGCAACTGGACGTGGAGTTCAAACTGAACTGAACTTTTCAAGCTTGAGAATAGGCTGAAATTTATTACCAAACTTCACTCTCTGTTGAATTAAAAGAATTGTGTGAGCCCTTCTTAGTCCACTTTTCCTAGATTACTGATATGAATTTGGGCTGTTTAGTAGATTGTCAGTGAGGTGGGTCTTACTGAAGCATAAATTAACTCTAAACATAAACCACAAATAGATGCTCATTAGCTGCTAAGTACTGCACGCTGCTTACAATTACAGTACTGTTTTTGCTATTGGAGCTCCTCATCAGAATTGCAGATGTGTTCTTAATGTCACATTTCATCAGTGATGAGTGAGCAGCGTGGTCCTCACGCCTTTGGGCTCAGAGTCTCGGAGGGTGGTCTCATTTACAGGGAAAAGAAGGATCATTTGTAGGACAATTTGCTCCATAATTACAAAAAAATTGAGAACATTTCTACAATTTCGGTCGTCTTTATCCTTGGAGTCGGGAGTTCAAATTTATGAGCGGATTTCCATGAAGCTCCATAATGGTGATGTAAAATGAATCATTGAACATTTTCAGGTATTAAAGGCAGAGCCATCTCCGAGGCAAAGAAGCTGCTCATCACTTTTTTTTTTTTTTAATTGACGAATAATGGGATTCTTTGAAACCATGAGATGATAATGCTTTACTGGCATGAAAAAAAAACACTTAAAAACTTTTTGCCTGTTATCAAACTAAGATTTGATAATGATGTCCTCTCAGAAACCTCTCAGTTACCCCAAATACATTTTGGCAGCAGCTGTTGCACATTTAGGCTGTCTTAAATACAACAACTATATCAAAGACAGGTTAGCCATAATGCAAGCCATCGCTGGGATGGAGAGCCTTGGATGGTAAAGGGACATCTAAACAAATCTAATATTTCAATTTCCTCCAGTGGGAAACTTAATCTTTGCTTCTACGTGCAGCTCAGTATTAAAAAAAAAAGTGCCGATTGCTAGGCAGCATGTTGAAAATGACAGGCACAGGCTCCAAAAGCTTCCCTCTAACTGTAACCCTGATTTCCCCTTTTTCTCGCCCTCTTTAGTCAGCTGTCTTCCCTCCATCAGACCCAGTCTCTGAGGAGGAAGAAAAGACGCAGCGTGCTGTCCATCTTCTCGGGCTTCCGCAAGAACCGTAACTCCACCATCTCCCATCAGGACTTGGAGTGAGTGGGCAGCAGCGGAGGAGGGGGAGAGAGTGATATCTGAGCTGAATATGATGGCTGCTAAATTAATCCAGAGCCGAGAGTTAATGTCCTTTCAGATCTCCCCACATACCCCGTATTTCAGTTAAAAAAAAAGGCTTCCCTCGTCTCCTGCTGCAGGTCTGCCATCTGCCGTCACAGTATTCTGTCTTTCAAACGCAGTATGCTGGCGTTGTTAGGTAAACGCAGCACCTGGAGGCTAACGTCTTTGCAGAAGTGCCTGTGCACAGCATGGAGGACAGGCGGCCGTTCTGTGCTGTTTCAGGCCCAGATTGATGCGTCCCCGACAGATAGAAGCTTTTTATGGTGCTTTCCCCGGCCTGGCTTCTTCCTTTTGTACTTTTTACTTAAAACTGCAGCTCAGAATGGGAAGTGTGACAGCGTCTGGGCTCTCTCTGACCCACTAACTGCGGCGTTTCACAGCCAGTGGCAATAAGATAGATAAGAATTATCGCACACTTGCTGACCACTTCTCTGCCTCTCGGGTGAGAACTCATTCCGTCTGTTCCAGCGGCGCCTCGGAGAACGTCTACTCCATGATCCAGCACCCTAAAGACGCGGCCAGGCTGGAGGACGTCATCCCCGGGGCTAACGGGGCCACGCCGTCCCCCCAGATAACTCAGGGCGTGCCTGCTCACGGGATGAGGGCGGTCAGCCCTCCCTGTCTCATCCAAAGACAGGTACGCTGTAACCCAAATCCTGTGAAGACTTATAACCCTTAAAAGCCACAAAAGACTGTTGCTGCGTTCTGAATAAACTCAGCTCATCTTTTGAAGGTTTTATCTCCTAATTCTGTTTGTATGGCATCTTGATTTCAAACTATGGCCAGAGTCCAGATTGTTGCTGCGTTTTGAATGAACTCATCTCATCGTTTGAAGGTTTTCTCTCCTAATTCTGTTTGTATCACATCTTCATTTCAAACTATGGCCTGAGTCCATAGCTATAAATTGAGGCCTTAGATAAGACGGTTGGAGCTTCCGTGTTGTGTTCACAGGCAGCAATACACTATTCAGGAGGCATTACATTCAGAAAATAAAGGGGTAAAACATCCCATTTTCTGTGCTATTGTTATCTAATGTTGGCTTGCAACATCCATAGTGTTTACAAATGACCTTCACTGGACTTAATAAACGTGTGTTGCAACACATTCTGACTTTCCAAAGGGGCCGAAATCAAAAGTGTGGACCATTCTAACATTTGTGGGGAATTTTAATTTATTGCTCTGATTCAGAATGGTATAACAACTGGCCCCAGCAAATGGCTTACAAGCTAGTATGATGCTAAATCTACAACCAGAGCTCTTTTATGTGTTCAGAGGCGAAACTGCATCCTCTCTCTAAGCTTCTTAGGCATGGCCTGAGCTTCAAAGCTCCAAAAAGAAAATTGACATGCGTTCAGAAAGAGTTTTAGGAACTGCCCTGAAGGAAACACGCTGCTGCTTATTGCATTTCTGCTTCATAGATGGAAATATAGATTCTTCTGGATGGACTTGGCTTTCTCCAGAGCTGTAATGCATCCTGACTTTATCAACAGCAACAAAGGAGAGATGAGCAGATTGGTGATTGTGACCTGTGGGTCTGTCCCCCTGCAGTCCACAGACCTGGTCAGCATGGTGTACAGCTGCATCGGGGCAGAGATCGACGACTCCGACGGCAGCAGCAACTGTGACCTGAAGGCGTCAGACCACGACGCCGACAGGCCGTTGGGCATCTCGGACCCCCCCGCCGACCCCCTGAGCAACGGCCACGGGCTGCCCTCCAAACAGCAGACGGACAGGCAGATGGACACCGGTCGGCAGGAGAGGATCGTCCCTCTGACGGAGACAGCAGAGGACGCTCAGAGCGCCGGGTCCAGGACCCCCTGCGGGTCCAGGACCCCCTGCGGGTCCAGGACCCCCTGCGGGTCCAGGACCCCCTCCGGGTCCAGGACCCCCTGCGGGTCCAGGCCCGAGCCGCCCCCGCAGAGCGCCAAGCCCAGCCTGGCTGCGATGAGGCAGAGACACCTACAGGAGAGTTTGGGTACTGCAACTTAACTTCTGCTACAGACTGACCCACAGAGGTCCGGGTACTTTTGTCCAGAATACAGGTTACAAATCAAGAAGGTGGTGTGGCTTTATTCCGCATGCAAATCTCACCCGCCAAAATCTGGGGCCACCCCTGATTTCTTTATTCTCTCCAGCAGTCAGACTTTATTTCAAAGTGGTATTGAGCTCATTTTAGTCCAGTTCTTGAACAGATGAAAACAGATCTGAAAGAAAAGTCCTGTTCCAGGAACTGAGAGATGCTGGAGTTAATTCATCTACTGCTCTCTCTAATAAGGCTTTGGAAATGGTATAAGGAAGGCTGCCAAAAAGCTCTTCTTAAATAAATATTAATAACCGCCTCCATTATAAAGGCTGTTGGATCTATCGAGATAGACACCAGCTAATAAATCTGAACATGGAGGCTTCTGATCACAGTCCTGCAAAATAAGATCAAAACTGATTTAATAAGGGCCTCAGTAGATTTGGCAGATGCTATTTATAGCTGCTTTCTGGTTTTATTTTCTTTTGTCCCATCTAGACTTGTTAATGAGAAAAACCTCCACAGCAGCTGTGACTGGACACAGACTCAGAGGGAATTTAGAATACAAACAGACAGCCAGGTGCCTGATGGGGTTTCTAAAAAAAAAAGTATTTAATCTGCAGCTTGACTGTCACATAGGTAAATAAAAATGCTGTCTGTCTTTATTAAAGTGAATGTTTACAGCATATGGACTTAAAACCTTACAAATGCAGCACATGCAGCTACCCCAAGTTTTTATTTTATTTGTTCAAGCTCTCTTTTAGGGGCTTATTTTTCCACACATGCATCTGAAGATGTGAAGCCCCGCTCCAGGCCTTGCTTTCACCTGAAAACTCCACACAGAGTTTAGATCAATGGCTGACCAGATGTGTTTACTGGCTTTTTTTGTTCTTCCCCAGAAGAGGCGGGGCGGCTGGAGATGGAGGACCAAAGTGAGAGAATCCAGGAAGAGAAGCCGAGAGGGCGAGGGCCAGAGGGACAGCGTCCTCTCATCGCCAAAAAGGTGCTTAGTCTTCACTGTAGAGGGAACGCTGGGAGGGAAAAAGCATCTTGATTTTAAACCGTGCTCTGTCCTCGGTCATCAGCCCAGCATCGACCCGTCGAGAGACAAAACCTCCCCGGAAAAGACCAAGACTTCGCCGAAAACCTCTTCTGAAGCTCCAGAAAAACACACCAGCGCTCAGGGGGCCGTCCCCCCCGCTCAGCCTGCCGGGGAGGACAGAGGGAGCGAGGAAAAGCCCGCCGTGGAGGCCCCCGACCCCCCCCTCAACGCTCACGACAGGATCATTAAGTCGCTCAACACAGAGGGTAGGGGTCCAGCTTCGGACCGGTGAACTGTTACAAGCTCAAATCAAAGTTCGGCCTCAGAGTATGTGGTCAGTGATGACATTTCCACCACCGTCCGCAGATGAGGAGGGGGGCCGGAACGGACATCCAGCAGCATCCCGCCACACCAGGAAGTCCAGCTCCTTTGACAGAGGTACTTGAACGCCTCACACACTCCGGGCCCCTTTAGGTCCCTCTGTCTGCATGCAGCCACGCCCCGCTGCGTTTGTGTAGAGTCCCACACAAATGCCTGACTCCTTAGTTGTTGTTTTTTTAGTTTTTAGTTTTTCAAAATCGGCGTGAATCCATTCTTGGATGTAGTCCAGAGTGTGTAGAGCGTGCTGGTTGGGGGTCTTGTTACTGCTTCTGCCCCGTAGAGGTCCCACCATGTCTGTGTTTGTGTGTGTGTGTGTGTGTGTGTCGTGGCGTTTCCCCTTAGGCGTGGAGCAGGACATCCCCTATGATCTGGAGAGGTCCTCAGATCGCAGATTCCCCCCGAAAAAGCCCCGTTTCCCCCAGTACAGAAACAGATCTCTGGACTGCCCTGCTGGGACCGGGTGTATGTATCTGTTTCAATTCCTCTTTAAAATGTGTGGTATGACGAGTCAGCAGAAAAATCAATGTTTTCTTTAAACAAGTTATTTAAATATGAAATATTTGATCTAATTCTTTTTTTTCTTACATTTGAATGATCTTTACTTTTACTCCAATTTTCATGGATGAGTCATACCCTACACATTACACGTGTGCATGTGTCACCATTTTAGACAGAAGGGATCAGAAAACAAGATTTAGAGGTGCATTCTCAGAAAAGAAAGCACCTTACTGTACCTTTAGGGGTCCACAGACTTCTGGGGTGGTGCTCTCAAAGATCCTGCTTGTAGTTTCACTGCCTTTAAAAGTGCAAATATGACCCCTAGGGTCAGGTATTAGCAATATAGGGTACAAAAGGAGAAAAAGAGCATGAAAGTACTCCTGTTTTGTCCCCATTTTTGACAGTGTTTGATATGAGCATTTCCCACATACACTATATTGCCAAAAGTATTTGCTCACCTGCCTTGACTCACATATGAGCTTAAGTGACATCCCGTTCCTAATCCATAGGGTTCAATATGACGTCGGCCCACCCTTTGCAGCTAGAACAGCTTCAACTCTTCTGGGAAGGCTGTCCACAAGGTTTAGGAGTGTGTTTATGGGAATTTTTGACCATTCTTCCAGAAGCGCATTTGTGAGGTCGCACACTGATGTTGGACGAGAAGGCCTGGCTCTCAGTCTCCGCTCTAATTCATCCCAAGGTGTTCTATCGGGTTGAGGTCAGGACTCTGTGCAGGCCAGTCAAGTTCATCCACTCCAGACTCTGTCATCCATGTCTTTATGGACCTTGCTTTGTGCACTGGTGCACAGTCATGTTGGAAGAGGAAGGGGCCAGCTCCAAACTGTTCCCACAAAGTTGGGAGCATGGAATTGTCCAAAATGTCTTGGTATGCTGAAGCATTCAGAGTTCCTTTCACTGGAACTAAGGGGCCAAGCCCAGCTCCTGAAAAACAACCCCACACCATAATCCCCCCTCCACCAAACTTTACACTTGGCACAATGCAGTCAGACAAGTACCGTTCTCCTGGCAACCGCCAAACCCAGACCCGTCCATCAGATTGCCAGATGGAGAAGCGCGATTCGTCACTCCAGAGAACGCGTCTCCACTGCTCTAGAGTCCAGTGGCGGCGTGCTTTACACCACCGCATCCGACGCTTTGCATTGCACTTGGTGATGTATGGCTTGGATGCAGCTGCTCGACCATGGAAACCCATTCCATGAAGCTCTCTGCGCACTGTTCTTGAGCTAATCTGAAGGCCACATGAAGTTTGGAGGTCTGTAGTGATTGACTCTGCAGAAAGTTGGCGACCTCTTCGCACTATGCGCGTCAGCATCCGCTGACCCCGCTCCGTCAGTTTACGTGGCCTACCACTTCGTGGCTGAGTTGCTGTCGTTCCCAAACACTTCCATTTTCTTATAATACAGCTGACAGTTGACTGTGGAATATTTAGGAGCGAGGAAATTTCACGACTGGATTTGTTGCACAGGTGGCATCCTATCACAGTTCCACGCTGGAATTCACTGAGCTCCTGAGAGCGACCCATTCTTTCACAAATGTTTGTAAAAACAGTCTGCATGCCTAGGTGCTTGAATTTATACACCTGTGGCCATGGAAGTGATTGGAACACCTGATTCCGATAATTTGGATGGGTGAGCAAATACTTTTGGCAATATAGTGTATGTCTCATTCTTTAATCACTCATTCAACTACTCTTTTTTTCTTTTTTGGCTTCCATTATTGAGATAACTGTCAGCCAGCTTGAGCTGGTTTCATTCTCAAATCTTTTTTTGAGCAGCTCGGAGCTGAAGAACTCTTCTTTGGAAGTGAAAATTCAGAGGGACTTTTAACAACGTGGCAAAACTGACACAAATGCTTTAGATCTTAAAATCTTAACTCAAATGCACGGCAAGAGGGGGGGGGCTGCATTGAATCCTCGAGCCCGGAGTGCTCTTCTTTAATCTGTGCGCTTCTATGTGGGTAGAATTGACATCAAACAGACTTTGGATTCAGAGCAAAAGTCTCATTTGAACTTCCTGCGTACACTCTAAAGTCTAAATGAGCTACACAGAGTCTGTCCATTGTTTCTGGATACTGAGGATCGCCTTTTGACACTTGATTAAGTGAGAAAACAGGACATTGGCTGTGACTGTGGAGAAGTAGGCCACAGAGAGGTCTGAATTGATCAGTATTACTAAGCGGGAGTCTTCCACTGGAGGGCAGCAAAAACAAGCTGACAATGTAAGTTTAATCTCTCAGATCTCATGTCAAATGATGACAGTTTTCTCGTAAGCGTCTACCAAAGAACTTTTTTGACTTGGAGTCAAAAAATATATTTTTAGTAATGAAGAACCTTGTCAAAGAGGCAGGCTGAATGTTTTCTATCTGATTTTTCTATCTGATTTTGATAGTGGAGGACAGTCCACTTCTGTAAAGTCGCATTCTTTTAGACGGGTGAATTCCGGGTCACGTTTTCACATGTTTTTAGATTTATACAAATGAGTAAAAGATGTTTAGACGGTGGTTAGTGGTACTGACACAGATTAAACGGCTGCCTGGTTAAGAGTTCCACCGTGGCCCTGTCAGGGAAAAGGAGTCCACGGGTTCCAGATGTTAAGCCAATGCTCCCTGGAGAATTTTCTACCCAGTATATTGAAATGAACATGTAATTTTTTGTTTAATTTCAGTTCCGAGGACAAAAAAGTGCTACATGTTAAATTAGCATCATACTTTTAGATTAAAGCTGAGAATCTTCCCCTTGAAGAATGCATTTGTTCATGACTTGAGGCATCACTTTATGCTTTTGCACATCTGCTTTTGCACAGGAGCCTGCTTCTCATATCACACCGGATTAGTCTTTGTCATTGCCATTATTCTAATTTAAAGCCTTGCGCCCACTTCTGTTTTCTCTCCTGCAGGTTACGAAAGCCCCCCGCTCGGTAACAGAGACGCAGTATGACGTCACCTGAGCTCTGGGAGGAGGGAAAACTGGAACGTGGAGGACTGGAGCGAGACCAGTTTTTGAAGCCGTGTGGACTGCTGACAAGGGTTTTAAAGAGGAGCTTATTTTTCTTTTAATCTGTTTGTTTTGAAAAATGCATGCACTGTCTTTTTCTTTCTTTTTCTTTTCTTTTCTTTTTTTTTAAAGCTTGCACTCACTATGGACTTCTCGAACGTAAAGGGAAGTTTCCTAAAAACACAGTAGCTCTGTGTCTCTCCGGGATGCTGTATGCTTTCATGCAATCATTTAGTATTGAAATACATCTTTTAACCCCCCCCATCCCTTCTTTTACTGACAATCTGTGACTACTAAAAGTGAGTTTGTACCGTATTTATTCTATCGAGATGTAGACGATGAATATAAGCTGCACTAACCGTTGTGGTAACTCTGCCAGTTAACAATCACGTTTTTATTTGTGATAATATATCATTTGATAACTGTGTTTGTAAGTATGCTTTCGGTGTGTGCTAGTGTTGATGACTGAGATGTGTTTCCATGAACTTAGCTTTCCCATCTGTTTTAAGAATGCTCAAATTGGTCAGCGGGTTGATTTTACGGGCCTGAAAATGAGTATATTTTCTAAAGATGCTTCTATGAATCTAAATGAATAAAATCGACTTAAAAAAAAGAGTGAACTGTGCCTGTCTCAGAGGCGGCAAGATCTATTCCTCTTTGAAAAGCTTTTATCAAAGTAGGACCGGATCACCTCGAGGGGACCGTTGCTAAAGAGAGAGAGAGAGAATTTACAAAGGAGAGAGGAAAAACTTTTCTCTCCCGGTCTTCTGAATATCTGTCACAATATTTTTGGCCTGGACTGTTTTTATTTTTCACTACTTTGCTTCTTTTCTGCTCCATTCTTGTACCTAACCATTTTCAGATGAATATTTTTCTTTCTTTCTAAAAGCTGAAATGTGATACATTTCCTCCCTGCACCAAAGCAGTGGTAAGTGGTAAAAATGTGAAATGCCGAGCACCGGGGTAATGAAACATTTGCTTTAACACTCTCTGCCTCCCTTTAAATGAGGTTTTGGTTTTGTTGTGTCCTTTTCAGCAGGTGGCAGCAGAGGCTGAGTGATCCAGACTCTAGCACGAAACCCACATCCCACAGATCCACATACATAATGCTGCCAAGTCGTGATGCACCACCACCACCAATAATTAACCCTGATCACTGCTAATGAGTGTCAAATCAACATGATTATTCAGTTGTTCAGATATTGGATTTGGCAGATGGGATGTTATGTGGTTCAAATAGAAAAGCAGGGACTGAGCATGTCCAGCCTTTTTTGACGCCATATGCATGCTTTATTTACGCCATATTCATGGATCTAGCATATGAACCGCAGATTATTGTGTTTTTTGCATTTCTGCCTACAAGAGAGCTCAGACTTAGGTGGTTCATCAGCTTTTTTTTCCAGACAATGACGATCCTCGTTTGTCTTTGGACAATAGGAAGCTGTTAATTCCCTCTGTACAGTCACCTGATCTCCCACACTGCCAGGACAGATCACAGCCAGCAGTGTGGCGTTCACATTCTCGACACCTTTAGATAAGCTCGGTTAATTCCCTCTTTATCTTTCCAGACAGACTCACATGGCTCAGGTTCCACTCACCATATGCTCAGCCGAGTGTTCCGCCCAGTATGTAAAACCTACACAGTCCACACATTAACACAATGATCCACTTCATAAAAGCCCATTTGCATGTGCGGGAGGGGATTCGTTCATTGGTTTTGATGTTCATTAGAGACAGTGAGATCCACGCTCACTCATATGCATTTCTGTAACCTCACGTCCACTGTTTTTTTTTTGTTTTTAGAGAGGATTGTGTCGCATGTGTGCAGCTCCGGCAGATGGGTCAGCAGCAAGCCATTTGACTCACTGCGTAAACACAGGAAGGCTGCTAATGAGTTTATGTGAGCCAGTGTGCTTCACTGTTATACCTACTGAGCAGCACAAAGGCAGGTAACACAGCCTGAGAAATGATCTGCGTCCCTTTATGGATGTTAAAGGGGGGGCTCGTGTGTTTGGCTACAACATATCTGACAAAAAAACATCACCTTAATGCAATTATTGTCAAAATATTGTCTTTAGAGTACAGTGCTGTCATTTTAAAGCTTAGATTGAACAGCTTACTTTAACATACCTTGGAATCCTGTTTAATTTAGCTCAACTGGTGTACAATAAACCTGTTCTTACTTTTTTTTTTAAATACTAAAGTGACAAAGTTGGATAATGTATAAGTTTCTCATGTAATTGGTGCTTTATTGGTGATGTAAAGAATCGCCCATTTCTTGAGGTTTTGGTAAACTTATCTGAGGCCAGGTCGCATGGACAGCATATTAAACAGGTAAAGTAATGAGTTCTAAGTCTGTTGCATGTAACAAAGTGCCCAAACTACCTCAGCTGATGTGTTTTGAAGTGGAAGAAGAGCTCTATTCCACCTTTTCTTTAGATGGCCAAGTTCCTCACCTCTGCTACAGATCCAGTCACTTTCCAAAGCAAAGCCATCAGCCACTTCTATCCACAAACTCATTCCTTTGGTGTGGATTGAAACAAATGTGCACCAGGAAATGAAAGCTTTCGCCCTCCAACTCAGCTGCTCCTTTACTGTGATGGACCAGAGCAGCTCCCTCATTACCCGTGACAAAGCCCCAGGTCGTCTGCCCATCTTTCACTCCAACTCGCCATCAATCCCGAATAAGATTCTGAGATACTTAAACTCTGCCCGGGGCTGGGACTCATCCTTAATCGAGAGAGAGTATTTCACAGACAGCTGAGAACCGTAGTCTCTGTTTCGGAGGAGCTATCTCTCATCCTCTCTGCCGTTACGCTCAGCCACGGCCTAGCAAATTACTTAAGTCCATTAATAAAGTGGATGTTTCTGACAGGTTTTATTCATTGTTTTGCAAGCTCTTTGGAGTTTTAACAATTAATAATACGGTAATCTACTTTAATGGTTTTAATTACAGCCTGTCTCTTTCTTGGACTGTGGTCATTAATAACACACTGAACAGTTCAAGTTTTTTTTGTTTGCATGGTGTCATGATGGCTCTGTTCTGTATTCAATTTAATTACCACTACTGGACAAATATGTGTTTGACAGGTCAACACTGAGTGACTTAAATGCTTCTTGTACTGAGAAAACTGATACATTTTAAGCAGGTTGAAGTTGGAATCCCACTGCACTATAAATTTGCTGGGAGGCGACCAAGTGGACCTGTGAGCCCATAAACTTTATTGCTCCTGTTTCTCGGCCGATCTCGGATTGCCATCCGTTCGCCTCTTAAAAAACGGGGATATGAAAAATGAGGCAGCTGAGCTCCGCGCACTCCAGATTCCTCTGGCTCCATCCTGGATTCAGACATCTCCTATCAACACAGCTGTCACTGTGTTTTCCCTCTCAGATTTATAAAAGCTTTTCTATTCGTGTCTCCTTTCGTCTTTACGATGGGAGGAGGCGTGTTCGACACTTTACATGGAGCCCCCGGTGGAAGCGGGCATTTATCTCCAGTCCTCGTTTCTCCCCTCCAGCATCTACTTTTCCCTGAAAGCTCTCCTTCCCGTGTCCTGTCTCTGTCCCATATTCCTGTTTGTTTCTTTGCGTCTCATTATATACACAGCAGGCAATTAGCCAAGACTGAGATTGTGTGTGTGCTAGTGTACATGTTTGCATGCTCTTCTGTTCAGATATGTGTGTAAGGGGTCAGGGTGGGGTGTTAAAGTTATCATAGACCCTAATGCGGGGCATGTTCTTGCTTGGATAAAGTCAGATTACAATGATATATACATAATACCATGAAGATTTTTCAGTTTTTATGGGTCTATCCACAGAAATCTTGACTTTGTATGAAGTCACTACTAGAACTTGTGAATACTCTGGTAAGCTCTGTATTGTGGTTTTACAAAAGTGAAGTGTCAGCTCACGGGGGTGCGATGCCCCGGCTTTGTAAACGACTGCTTTGCTCGGATTTCCAGCCTTTAAACGGGTAAAGCACCAAAAAGAGGAACAGCGGGTCGCAGCTGGCGTCCCAAAAGCACGGGCCAGCGTTATTGGGGCTGTCCTGTGATTAGATCAGCCATAATGGATGCTGTGTTATATCACAGTGTGTCACAGATTTAAGATGTCTCTTGTTACACCCAGGGTAGAATTATGAAAAGCATTTTCAGCCCCAAAAATAGCACGAGATAGGTATCATAAACTAGCCGGGGGGCGATGCTGAATTTGTTCGTGATCACGCTGATTCACACATGAGCTCATCGGATTGGTACCTCATTATATCTCCACAATTTGTGGGCTGAGGGGAATAAAAGAAAGACGTCATCTTCTCTCTAACTTGAATTACGAGCACCAGTAAGTGTGTGTGTGTGTGTGTGTGTGTACACGGCCAAAAGACAGCAGGGCCGGTTAAGAGGAGGAGTAAATACAGAGGCGGACACAGGTGTGTCCCCTCCATTTCTTCTCCTTATTTAGCACATCATCTGATGGTGAGCCGTGGGTTCCTTCCAGGAGCAGGACACCGTTCACAGTAAGTGAACATCCTCTTTGTATTTCCCTCTGGCTCTGTTCCTTTTTCAGACCTCCTCTTTTTCTTTTAAATTCCACCTCCAGCCCACACCTGAGTCGAATAATTGATGCGCAGTATCTTGGCTCGACACATGGGGTGCGACTATGGTCTGTGTGTCTGTTAGTGCTCTTTGCAAGTTGCCCCATAAAGCATTCCTTCAGTTTTGGTTTCTTTGTCTGCAGGGTATACCACCAGAACTAAAATATTCTCGAGATGGTGAAAGAGAATGTGACAAGTTCAGAGTATTTCTGAGGAGGGTGTCCTTGAGGAATTCGCTGAGAAGAAAGTCAGAACTCGCACGGAAGGAAGGCTGCCCAGAGCAGCAGCCATGCTCACTGAGGCAGTTGAAAGGTTTATTGAAGCAAATGGGAAGTCAGATCAGTCCAAATGCGGCATGAATATGCGTGCATTTTGCTTTGCTCCAAACTCCCGGGCTGTGAGAGGCTTGTTTTCGTACTGTAAATGTGTCTAAATTTGACTGGGGAATGAAGAAAAAACTGGCAGCACTTACAGCTTTGAAGGCACTTTACCTTGAGGTCATTGTGTCTTAAATTAAAGCACGACATAGTTTTGCCTCTTCCTGTTCCTGTGCACTTCTCAGCTCTTGGCTCTCCTTATCCTCTTCTGTCGCATTTCCACCCCTAGCCAAACATTTTTGATCTTCCCTCCTCACTCAGTGGGCTCAGAAGGAAAAAAAATCTGTAATGTGAGAGATAAAATCTAGTAAGACCACATATAAACTGGTAATGTATATAACCCTTATAAAAAAATATCTCCACCCCGGCAACTTGTCTAGTGCTTGTTAGCATAAGCGGTAAACTTTATCCCGTTATGACTGTCCAATGACCTTTTTTACTCTTTGAGTACAATGTGAATGTAATCGCCCCCCTTTGGAAAGTAAAGTTGGACATTATTTAAGGAAGTTGATCTTGACGGGGGTACTTTACGCAGTAGAAGAGACAGATGGATCAAAGAATGAACAGGCGTTTGTTCATTTCTTTGTCCATCTGTCGCTCACACACACACTACGCTGGACACTGTGGGTAAGATTCTAACAGAAGTGGGAGTTATTACGTATCCCAACCACCACAAACTGACATTAAATCACACTCATCTCAGGCTTATTTGTTAAAGAAGCTGCAAACCATAAAAGAATGACTCTTTGATCACATTTCAAATTTCTTTTCCAAACTTTGCAAAGAAAATGTGAAAAGCACTCTGGCGGTGCCTCAAGCTTTTTTGTCTTATTTCTGAGAAAGTCTTCCTCAACAGTGGGCTGTAGGGTTACTGACCTTTTCCCAACATAATTGGCGGCAGCATGTTTACCAAGCTGTTTCCTTTTAGTTCAAATTACTTTTCCAGCATTTTGTTACCATTATCACCTTTGACTCAGATGCTTTACTACCATCAGATATACATTTTCCATGTCTTACCATGAATTACACACTGATTTCAGAGATTTTTAAATCATCATGTTCTCCTTTAAATAACATTTGAACACAGTGACCTTTTAGGAACTGCAGCGGTTAAAGAAATATATAATATAAGTTGACTAACTGAGGATTTACAGGACATGGTTTTGACCATGTGCCCTTGGGGTTGACTGTTGTAACATAGCTAGATAAGCGACCACGTCACACTTAATGGAGCACGTGTGACATGATTAGTACCAAAAGCCACACGCTGTGAACTGCTGATAAGAATTTGAGATTGAAATGACCACACAAGTATGTTTCAGGCGTGGTTCTCTTATCGGAGTGTAATTTGTGCCCAGATCTACATTCAAAGAGGCTGTGAGAAAAATCTTTAAAGAGGCAAATCGCATGAAAGACAGGGCAGCCGAGGAGTCAAGTGCAACATTTCACACCCTGGAGTCAGCTGCCATTAACACCCATGTTGACAAAGGGATTTCATTTATATTTTCCTATCGCGCATGTAATCAAAACGGCACGGATGGCGCTCAGAACTGGTGATTTCATATAAAAAAAAAACCCAGAGCAGCTTTGGCCTCAGAGGGCACTGTGACATTTCTTTTTTGCACTTTTGGTTTTCCCCCCTCTGAGTAAAAAATGTGAGGACAGGGCTTCAGATCTGAGTACTTTCAACAGTCAGAAGTTAATTAGCTTGGCCTGAATAATCTAGACTAGATTTTCTGTTCAAAGTTGAATTATTTGCCAGTCAACACTAATTAGCAGGCTCTATCTTGTTAATATTAAATCCACACTGCTGGCAATCAGACATGTTAACGACAGATCTTGTTTGGATGCTTTAACTGCGTTTTGAGAGAAAACCCCAGTTTTCAGAGTGAATGATATCACATTATCTCCCTCTGACTCAAATATTACAGATCCATACATCCTACATCGTCTGAATGGATCCCCGGTGAGTTATACGGCCCAGTCATTTTTAAGCAGCTGCAGCTACTGTGAGAGGTGCTTGAATTCTCCAAATGCAAGGCAGAGGAGTCCCAATATTTCTTTAACTATCGCTGCCATGAAAGGAGAAGAGATATTTCCGCCAATTTGCTGTTCCTCAGAACTGCAGTATTCAAAGCAACACTTGATTATTTGGGTGCAGTTTACTGGGATTTGCGGAATTATATGAGGGCAGGAAAGTTAAAAAGAAATTCTCCACTTTTGAGCCTGTAGCCCCCCCTCCAGCAGATGCACACCAACATCAAAGCTCAGTGCTGCTTCTTCCAGGTTCCTTTGAGTGCGTTCCTTTCTGAAGTCCTTAAAGGACACGTCACGCCCTCTTAAACACAATTTGTCCCCCCCACCGAACAGTTTAGTATGGACAGGCACCGCTGATAACACCGACTGACCCAACTCTTAAAGGGGACTGCTGCTCAAACAGTGTGTCAGACTCATGAGCTGTGGCTCCATTTCTCTGCACTTTACTACACAGACTTCATTTTTAGGTCATCTAGAGATAATGCCGCGTTTAATGGCAGGTTGAATGAACCTAAAGGCTCGTAAAGACTTGGAATGAAGTAAAATATGGTCTATTTTATTATGACGATTGAAATGAAGCGACACTGGGGCACCCTCTGGTTACCTGGTGTCTCTCCATCAAACCTCTATTTTCTCAAGTGTCTTGGGAGTGTTTAACTTCAGTATCTGGAGACAAACAACCTTCCCCCCACCCCTACCTGTTTGCCACGTCCGCTGGAGCTCGCATCGGGGAGTTGTTCTCTCTGTCGTGATGACATGCTGAGGCCTTTCTGAATGTTGAGCTGTTTGATGAGAGACACGCCGTCTCATCTGAATCAGGCGTGCCACTCAGACCCAGACGGGGCCCGCTGAGCTCTGGCTTGATCGTGATGCAGGAAAACACGGGGCGGCTGCCATTATGAATATGAATAAAACATCTCAGGTATCTGATTAGAGTGATCTTTATTCTCTGCCCTGTTGCACCCCGCTGGCTCTGTGCCGGTCCCCTTTGTGCTGGCAGTTGTAACCGTCGTTATCTGACTCATTTGTGCAGAGGGCAATGCCGGCCATCGTCAACCTCCTGTTCAACGTGGTCTCCACCAACACCACCATCTCCTTCACCGTGGTGCTGCCGGCGGTGAGCCTGATCTCCCTCCTGGTGGGGGTCGGGGGTCACCTGCTGCTGTGGCTGGTGCTGGTGAAGAACCCCCGCGCTCGCTCCAAGCCCAGCTCCGTCCTCCTGCTCAACCTCAGCCTGGCGGACCTGGGGGCTCTCCTCACCCTGCCGTGCGTGCTCCTGGGGGCCAGCTTCCGGAGCTGGCGGCTCGGCGACGGCACCTGCGTCGTCCTGGGATTCATGACCTCGGTGACGGTGGGGGTGGAGATCTTCAGCCTGGCCGTGCTGTCGGTGCTGAGGTATCGGATCGTCTCTCCACGGATGAGACCCCCCGCCAGCCTGGGACGAGTGTGAGTGAGCTTCTAAGTGCGTGTCGAATCATGATATCACAAAAAAAATGATTGAAAATGCAGTTTCAGTGACTTTAGTCACTCATTTTCCACATGGAGCAAGACGCTGTGCTCTGAAAAGTGCCGAAATTATTTCTAATGCAAAAGGGAAACATGTTGGTTGTCTTTGGGACATCGTACTGTCTTCTTCTACGACATAACGGGAGCATTTTTTCATGCATCGATCCACTGTTAACTCATTCGCTGCCAAAGACGTCCATATAGGTCTTTTATGTTTTTCAACGCGAGTGGCTTGGGGGGCGATCGGCTAAAGTTTTTCCGTAAATATCGGCTTCCAGACAGAGTATGTAGTAACAAATTTACCCTCTAGGTAGCTGTGCCACTTTTGATGGGAGATGAGCATAGATTGTAGGCAAATAAAAAAAAAACGCAATGGTTCGCTATGCGAGAAATGGCGCCGGTGAGACACACGTCGAGGAAGAACGGAATAAGGTAGAAACTATTTCTTTTTTCCTGATGAAAGAAGAGAGTCTACTCTTTCTTTTGGTGTGTTCGGTGTTTGCATAGTCATAGCACAAACTATTCTGTGGCTCTTGAAAAATCAGTCAAAATGCTCAAAAAACGGAGAAGGAGTTGTCTCTCGGAAAATAAAAATATTTTCCAACAGCTTCATGCGTCTTAAGACTAAGATAAATGGATTCTCCCTTCGTCTGTCCCGCAGGTTATGCACCGTGGTTGCCATTTGGCTGGTCTCAGTAGCCATGGCGCTACCGAAAGTCACCTACATCGACTTTGACGGGGGGTGCACGTGGTCAGTTGGTCGGGAGGAGTGGCTGTTCTTCCTGGTTCCGGCCTTCCTGGTTTACTACGTGGGCCCTCTCCTGTGCATCGCCGTCAACTGTGGCCTCATCATCTCTCACCTGCACAGATGCAGGGGGACGCTGGCCGCCGACAGGCGCAACAAGAAGGCCACCGCCCTGCTCATCGGTTCCACGCTGGCTTTCGCCATTAGCTGGTTGCCGTACTACGCACTTGAGTTCGTCAACGTCATGTCCCCTCATGTTAGTTCAGCGGCCTCTCCCACGAACAGATTCGGCTATAAGGTGTTTTCAAGCACGGCTGGCCCAGGTCAGCAGGTGTCTACGCGGGTTAGCCTGCTCTGGGAAGTGGCGTCCCTGGCGGCCATTTTGCTGGTGTGCCTGGCGCCCTGCTGGAACCCTCCCCTGTACTTCCTGTTGTCGCGTCCGGCCGTCCGGCAGCTCAGAGCTCTCCTGCCTTCTGTCTTTCACGTGCAGTTTGGGAGGAAACCCGCTCAGCGCTGGCGTGTAGCTCCGGCCCCCCCCACCTGCCCGCCAATGCCTCCTCCTCCAACACACAGCCTCACGCACCAAACCCTCACACACAGACTGACTCAGTAGAAGCACCACGGCTCATGTTTGTCATTAAAAAAAACACACTTTAAAACCAAATGTATGTTTTTCTGAATACATGTGCACACCCATCTTGGCCACAGTGCACTAAAACCTCAGACAGATGCCAGTGTAGCATAAACAAGATGCGTCACAGCCAATAAAACCACACGATTTACATCCATGAGTCACATCGTAACTTACTGTTCTGGCCCAGGCAAAACAGAAAATAATTTTTTGAATAAACAAAGCAATTGCCCATTATATCACAGCTCAAAACATCATTTATAAATCCAGGTCACTGAACTTAAATTTATGTCTTTAAGCTCCCATATGGGAACCGAACCCACACTCCTTTACAGCCTCCGTTAGATAGACTGAAGGACATCTGCTGAGTGCCGATGGAGCCAAACCAAGCAAATATAAAATGAACTCCCCGTGGAGTTTCCTAACCGCCGTGCAACAAAAACAACAAAAACAAAAAAAGCTCAGCTAGGTATGATGTACAATAATAAAACAAACAGCTGTGCTGTTGGAACATTTTCTATAGGGGGTGATTATCGGGCATCTAGAGCATCACAACAAGCAGAACAACCTTCTCACCCCATTACCGAGAAATCCGACGGAGCAAAAGCACCAGGGATGCTGCCCCCCCCCCCCGGAAAACTCCCCGCACAGCCTGGAAGCAAGACTGTGTTAATTCAGTGTCATATTAATAACCTTGTGAAAAGAGGCCTCTGAGACTTCTGACAAACGTTAATAAAAGCCAACTTGTTTAGCTCTCAACTTGAATAGTGTGGCTGTCCCCATTAAAAGGAGATTTGACACAAAGATCACATTAGCAGTAAGGAAATTACTTCTCGGCAAGTGAAGCCTGTCTGCGGTTTAATAGCTCAATGTAAAGGGCAAGTCATGTATTTCCTCTGGTCAGGGGCTTTATTTGATGAATTGGCCGAGACGTAGTAATTGGAATTTTTTTTTTTTTTTTTTTTTTGTCAGGTTATTTATTTCCAGAAAAGCAGAGCACTGTGTAAATGTATCATGACATTAGAAACACTTGAGTTGCCCGGAGACAATGTAGGCTACGACAGGGACCCACCATAATGTAAAATATTTAAGGGTGAATAATGGGCTTGGGAAAATGGACCGAGACGTCCATGTGTTGTCCAGTAGACCCTATCGGCCTTTGGGTAAGAGCTGTAATGTGCTTGTTTGTTGTGTTTCCAGATTAATAAGTAAAGTCAAATCACATTTTTCACATTCAGCCCACATGGGGGTTTCTATTTCTACGAAATTCTAATAAAAAAAGCAGTTCTACCGTCTTCTGATTGGCTTCTTTGTAAAGGGAAATGAAAATTCCAGTAGTGCTTTAATGATAGTCCTCTAAATGAAGTCATACCTTAAGTCATGACTTTCCAATTACTTTATTTAATTGGAAGGTCATCGTTAAACCAATTTCAGCAGTCTCATGAGATCTATGGAGCGCAGGCTTTTGGAATATAACAATACAGAGAGGAATCCCTGACTTTTAGGATGGCGTGGGCTGCCATGAATCTAGCTCTTGACCTTCTGTCAAATCCTGGACTGCACTGCAGGGAAATTCACAAGACAGTCCAGGGTGTCTATTCTTTGTCTATACCATCTCGGAGGCTAATGAGAGCCCTTATCGTTGTCATCTGTCTGCACTGGGTTCCTCTCACGCACTGAGCCAGTGAGCCCCAGTGTCCTGATGAGACGTAATTAAGTCAGCAGATTAGCGAAAGCTTAAAATATAAGTCATGCTCAGCAGGCTCATTGAGAGGATCCTTCCCAATTCTGCTGGGTGTGTTTACTGAAGCTGTGACACATCCACGGACCTGCTGTACTAAGACTATGAAACGGCACGGGCTGCAAACGTAAGCAGAAAGTAGGTTTATATCCAGACATTATAAAGCAGGGGGATTTCCACAGTGGAGCTCGGCATTTAGGAGACGTATTGATTTTCTGTGTAACAGCACACCTACCACTTAATAACCATAAAACCTTATTGTCATTAGGCTCTGTGTAAATCCCAATGGGAAGATGGGTTTAATAGTTTAATACAAAGAACTCTAGATAAGTGCTGATTCACAAAACCGCATGATTGAAGTTCAGAAACGGCAGTAGTTCTAAACCATTTCACTAAATGATTTTCAATGAATCCACAGGGACGCTTGTTTATGAGGTAAATCCATTGTAAACTAAAGGAAAAAGGCCATTGTCTTTGTGGAATTAGATACGACACCCACTATGGGTGATATACTAGCTGAGGAAAAAAGCAAACATTCATTCTCTTTTAAACAATATTGTGTGCAGTGGTTCCGCCTCGTGCTCACACAAAAGTGCACACCTCTTAGTACGTGGTGAGAGGACCGTTTGGGGTCTGCTGTTCTGAGATCCAGCTGTTGGTTATTGTTGATTTTTGTCGTTTTACTAACACATTGTAAAGATTGTAAAGAATAACTGATGCACATTTGAAGCAAGTACTGAGCAACATTAGCATTCCTGTGGCACTGTCAGCCTAATTAATGTTCAGAATTTAGGAATTTTAAATCACCTTGTGTCTGCTCAGGGAGAAATTCTTATTCATCAGCTACTTAACGCTCCACAAGATTAATCATCAATACATTTGGGTGCAAAGCTACCAACTTAGTGCAGATTGGAGGCTTTGTGGTTTGAATTTATTAACTAAGTTTAAACTCACAGGTTTCAGTTTTACTTTTGAGATAGTTTATCACCGCGCCAATAAAGTTTTAACACCAATTAAATTTAATTTCATTTAAGGTTCTCTTTCTATGGCAATCAACATTCACTCAGTACTGTCTGCTAAGGACAAAACAGTTTAAAAGGAATCCCTGAATTGAATATACTGATTGACTAATGTGTGATCTTGGGCACTGGCTGTCCGACCCAATCTCAATCAAACAGCTTTTTTTTAAAGTGGGAATATTCACCGCATTCAGAGAAAAAGACTCCACTCTATTTCGGCGACATTGCGCTGCCCCTGGCCTTTTAGATGAAGCTCCAGCCTCACTCCGGAAGCAGGAGGAAGCCGAGCACTCTCATTCATACAGGATTCATTTTATATCAAAGATGGAAGATATGAGTCAGGTCGGCCTCCAGATGGCACTGGGATTGGCCAAAAATGTCGGTCTCTTTAACACAGCGTGTCATTGTGTAATAGCAGGGTTTGCAGCATGCATGCCAAAGAAAAGATGGTGAATAAAACCTAGTGATGTGGAGTTTGGAGGAAGAGTTGATAGGATGCAAAGAGGGATAAGAGAGGCAGATGGTAACAGAGAGCATTTACATTTGCAATTTTTAATGGCGTCGTCCTTGTAATGGAGACTAACAGCAGTAAAAACAAACCATTAACACAAATGCTAATGTGAATGCAGCTGTCTTTAATTAAGTTTAGCCAGCCATGTAAAGTTAAAGAAGTATGAAATTTACCCTGGCTTGTCTTTTTAAGGTTTTCTATGTTATAACAACAGCATAAGAATGGGGATGAACAAGAAAACAGTCTGTTACACTCTGTCAAGATTCTTGACCGCATTGTGTGGAAGCTAACCATGAACATGCTGTCTCCATAGGACTTCAAAGTAGCAGTCAAGTGCTGCTAATCAAATCTACTTTACAAATTGATCAGCAATTATCTAAGAGAGGCCACTGCTGCTGCCAATCAGCCTCAGGGCTGCGAGGCCATTTCCAAACTGTTTGGAGTTCATTCTACCGCGAGGAAGATTTTTTTGTAGAAGTTGAAAATATTGCAGACAGTTGCTAAGTTCACCCTCAGGTCACAGCGTGCGATGCTTGGTGAAACTGCAAAAACCCAGGAGCTATATCTCAGACTCTACGGGCCTCAGTTATCATGTTAAATGTTAACGCTTGTGACAGGAAAAGAGGAAAAAGACTGGATAAGTATGACTTGTTTGGAGGGGTTGAAGGAAAAAAGTCTATTCTCCTAAAAATAGAACATGGGAGCACAGCTTAGATTTGGGAACCTGCTTGGTATTGAATCCAGCAGCTGAAACTTGGCTGAAAGCGGCCCATCGACGTTTTAATGATCCCAAACACCCCAGCAGATCTACAGCTGAATGTCTGAGAAAGAACAGGAATCAAAGTGTTGTAACAATAAAGTCAAAGTCCATGCATCAGCCTTATTGGGCCTGAAAAAAGATATGAATTAACACCTTCTGTAAATATCAACTAACTGAAGCTAAGTTGTTAAGAGGGCCAGAAATTCCTCCGTAATGATGTGAGAGACTGGTAACAGCTAAAAGAACAGGATTTCTTCAGGTTTCTGCCATTGCAGATGGCTTTATTGGCTTTGGGTTTTACTATGGGATTGCAGTATGTTTTTTTATCTCATTTAGAATTCATTTCAAATACCTCTTAAGACTGTGAGACAATTATCTCTTTTTGCTCACGACTTCATATCATTCTTATTTATCATTATTGAGTAAGTAAGGTTGTTCAATTTTCTGCTCATCCCAGCCACTGTGAGCAGCGAACTGTGTACAGCGAGAGCTTTCCGCTTAAGGACAGAACTTGATAATGTTTCCCAAGCGTTCCTTATGATCAGTGGCCTTATCAGATATTATCAGTCCATGAAGGGGATTTGTAAATAAATTGAACCAAACGGTTTTAGCTGTGAAGCGAGCCAGCTCTGTAATGCATACAGTCCCAGTGTTGCGCCCCCGTCAGTGGCATTATGTTAATTGATTCATGGCTGAGTAGCAGGACGATCAGAAGGCTGAAAAACGAGTTGTCTAACGAAACTCGCGTGTTGTGGAACCGGGTATCCTTCCCCATCCGTCCTCCACACACGGTCTGTGATGGTCAACAGTGCCAAAGTGATGGTTTCCTGTTCTGTTCCTCTTTTCTCTTATCACTGCACAGACACAACTGACTGCATAAGGGTTGGCTGTGTGGGTGAACGGTGCTAAAGGGGCAGGCCATGCACTGAAAACTGACCAAGCTGCATTGCTTGACCAGTTGGCGTATTAACGCCCATAGGTTTGTTAGAATTTGGTTATAATTACTCACTTTAGCATAGTATGCTATAACATGATCTATGTAAATTACTGATTGTTGTATTCCTTATAGAACCATAACTTTCTTTTACAGTCCCTGGTTGCATCCAAAGACTCTGTTTTCTTTCTCTGATTGCATTAGATCCACACCATTTGTTACCACATTCCATCAGGTCAACACAAACACTCACCATTGTTACCACATTTTAATTGTTATCACATTTCTGCATTAACTAGGACCTGGCCGGTTCATGTCAGGGTTAGGGGTAGTAAGTAACTGGCCAATAAGCAGTGTCCAGTCCTTTTTGAGCCCAGAAGACATATACCCATCACACACAGAGTTGGGGCTTTGCCGGTGACCAAATAAATGTATTTTTTTATGCTTTTGATCCACTCTGGTTTATTATCAGGTTTCCAGCTAAAGAATCGGGTTAACAGGTTGTTATCAAATGTAGTGCATGGTGCCTCCTAGCTACAGGCCGGCTCCATGAGGACCCACCCCTGAATGGAAACAGCCAATTCTTGCAAGAAGGTCCAGAAATTCAACTGTTTGTTTCAAAGTTCGGACTCAGAAGTGGATGTCCTATTCCTGTTTGTCTGCGTTGTTTTGACCCAAGCATGTCTATTATATTCTATTGGATTCTAGGCAAACTGTGTCAGATTTTGGAAATGAGGGCACAATCCTGACAGCACCTCCTCTTGGAGGTGTCTCTGCCTCCCTCTGGCGGCAGCTCCCCCGCTCCACTGCCCGGGTAAGATGCTCCAAACCCGGCGTGTGACAAAGGCACATGGAGGAACCTGAGCCAGTGGGCTGAGAGAGATTCGCTCATGAGGGAGCGAGGGGCACTCCCTTACCCTTCTCCATCCCTCTCTCCTCCTCCTCCTCCTCCAATCTCACAGGGAGATCACTGAGCTCACTCGAGGACGCGCCTCCTAAAGCACACTTTAGAGAGAGAGAGAGAGAGAGAGAGAGGGAGGGATGAAGAAAGGGAGAGATGCAGGTATTAAGTGGAGGTAGGGAGGGAGGCGCACAGACTGCTGTCCGCCGGGACACGGAGAGGACTGGGGGGGGCGTGTAGCGCCACCGATGGCTTTATCTCTCTCTCCACGGTTATTCCAAGCGGAGACGCAGGTGTAGCTTCTCCCCCCTCACCACCAACTATCCCGGTTTTCCCTTTAGAGGCAGCAGGAGTGGTGGGTTTTTTTACGCGCCGGAGCGCCATGGTAAATGGTAAAAAACCATGGTAAATGAATCGCAGTGCGTCGCTTCCGTGCGCCGCGTGCCACCGCGGCCGTGCGTGTGATCCCCGGTCCGCAGCGCGCACAGATGACTCCAGCCACACCGAGCCCGCGCCCCTGAACACAAGACCTACCGATAACCATGGCTGACCAGGTAAGGAGACGCTCATCCTCCCCCCCCTCTCTGTAGTAAAGACGCCCCGCGCGCGTGTGTGGCACAATAGCCAATAACGTGCACGTTGACGCTCACAGGTAGGCGAAATTTTACTATGGATTTTTTTTCTTTTTTTTGGGACCTCACATGATTTTTACTACAGTTGAAATGGCTTTAATCAGCATTCGGAATATAATATTATACAGTGGGACAGGTCTTCTTTGGATGGACCATCAGACTGGTCCATTATGTGTGTGTATATATATATACACACATATACACACACACACACACATATACATATATATATATATATATATGTGTGTGTGTGTGTATATATATGTGTGTATGTGTGTATGTGGTTGGTCAGGTTTATAGTGATAAACGTGGATTATTCCACAGACACTTTGAAAATAATTACTGCGTGATGAATGATGTATTCCTGGTTTTAAAGTAGTGGACAAAGTCCTTATAGCCAATGCACAGCCTCAGAGGAAAGCGCAGAGTCATTGTTATTTGGGTTGTAAAGATGAGCGAACGAGAGACAAAACATTGCCTGTAGTATTAATTTTGTATTGCGCACCGTTGTTTGCCCCAGTTTCTCCACATCCTGGCGGGGAGCAGATTAACCCTTGACACACTGGCTCAGCCCCACGGTCTCGGTTTCCCTTCCATATGTGCGCGCGCCCATCGCGCGCGCGCGCAGAGCGCAGGCTTAATTGATTAGCTCGTTCAATTAACCTAATTGAGCAATCTACATCCAGTTTGAGTGCAGAGCGAGAGCGCGAGACATGGTGAGAGGGGGAAAGCCTCAGAGGTGCCACCAGCAGCCACACCTTTAGTGGTTCAAAACAAAAAAGACACAAACACTACACAGCACTCTTCACAACTCTGCACAATAACAATATACCAGATCTTTTTAGCTTAAAAAAAACTCTACTGTGACAAATGCAATGTTGCAAAAAAGACGACCCACTTATCCAATAATACACCACCCCACACAACATTTTACACACTCAGCTATTCAAAACCATACAGTAAACAACAGTACACTATATCTATACAATACTGTTCTACAACAGTGTAGCATCAATCTAACCTATAGTCTTCTGTATAGTATGCACAATGTGTTTATTATTCTGTACCATGTGACAAAACACTACACAGCACCATTAGGCACACAACAGTTATAATATGCTCTATAGTGTCTCATTTAATATAACACTAGGACACTGTTTTCTATACCATACAATAATATATGACACTGTACTATGATTTATTGCTTCAAATACAGTTTAACATTACTGAGCTCAATCTTCTCTTCTCTTAATGCTTTACAGAAATAACCCAGACTACACAACTGTGTTTTATACAAATATGCAGAAACAATGCTGTTAGACTATGTTAGTAAAGGCAAACAGAGCTGCACAACAATTGTTTTCTGCATAACTGCAGCGGCTCACACTAAATGTGTTCTCCAGTGATTTCTTTTCTGCTCGCCGACTGAAGAAATCTGTGTGAGCTTAGTTTGATTGGCAATCGTAAATTGGCTGTAGGTGTGAGTGCACGTGACTGTGTGTCTCTGTGATGGATGGGCAGGATACCTGCCCCTCACTCAGCGTCAGCAGGCGGAGGGATCCACCGTCCCACAAATCCATAAAGAACCAAATCAGTATGTCTGATTGATAGAAAGAAGAATTGACTCCATGACAGTTGTCAGCAAATGTCAGTGGAGCTTAATTTATTTTTTAGTATACACACACAAATATGCATATGTTCATTACACATTGTATATCATATACTGTATATGTACAACATAATGATGAAAACCCCAATACTCTATGGCACAACTCTCGTAAATAATACCCGAAATTACACTACATCACACTTTCTACACTGCTTTATTCTGTAGAATATTAAACTGAATATATTGTAGTAAATGACCTCATAATGAGGTGGATGTAATTGTGATGTAGTCAACTTTCCACTTTATTCACAGTACTGCAATATGCTTACAAACTTAAATTGCACTCTTTTAATGTTTACAAGTTTTGCTCGAGTGTTCGCTGAACTGAGCTTTAAAGTGGTCAACTTTCCTTGATGGGTATTCTGAACTCGTATGACAGTATTTTCTAGTATTTTCTAGTATTTTCCGCGTCCCTCTCCTTTGTGTGAAAGCCGCCTCAGAGCCCAGCAGTGCCACTGGAGCTAGATTAATTGCTGTTTTAATATTGATGAGGGTCGTCTATGGTTGACCTGCTGCGGTAGCTAAACGCGCACGCACGTGCACACAAGCTAACACAAAATGCACACTTTTTTTTAAGCCGAACTGTTGCTGGGGGACACAAATGTCTGTCAGGTAGCCCTCAGTGCTGATGGGAAATTTGAAACAACAAAGGATGATGACAACTTGTTTTGACCTCTTTTCTTGTGGGGCCAAGATGCCCTCGTTATGTGGACTAGAGCCCACAAAACCGCACTTTTCCCCCCCGCTGCACACAACTCCTGCCTCTTTCCTTCTCTCTGTCTCACACACACCTCCTCTCCACCTCATTTAATGAATCCACATCAACCTGCTGTCTCCCACAATTATTTCGAGGTCCTCCACCCTGCTTCTGTGTCTCCCTCGAGTCATTACCCCGCCACCCCACTTGATCACCTTTTGTCTGGTGATATCTTTAGGCCCTGTTTTTTTTTCTTCCTCAGCATCTTGTATTATGTGATTTTGTGTTGTTTTGTCTTCCTGCCTCAGGACGACAGATGCGAATTAGCAACTGTGCTACAATCTGGCTAATTTACAATCTGTATGAGATTGTTCATTAATGTGCACTGTCCTGATTAAATAAATAAATAAATAAAAAATCCCTCTCACACTGCCACCTCCCGGGTCTCACATCCATTGTTATCAGTTCCCCCTTCTTTACACTGGTGCTGCCCCTCTATTTGTGAGTGGTATTGTTTTTTTTTTACCTCTGTGGGTTAGTCTGCCACACCTGTATCTCTGCAGCCCGTTTGGAACCTTAGGGGCATTTTAAAAGCTGTTTTCACGGCATGTTTTGCCACTTCTCTGGACTTACGCTTCTCTTTTTTGTTGTCTTTTGTCAAACTGACTCCAGTACAGTATGTTTCTCACCACGGCGCCGCCCCTCCGGCGGGGGAGCACCCCCCTGCCCGTCAAGCACCAGCTGCGGAGGGAGGAGGCCGTGTCCGAGGACGGTGACTGGATCCCCGGCCTGGACGACCCTACCGCGTTGCCTATCAGTGACACAGGAGTGCCTCGGGAGGATTCTTTCGGCCAATCGGCCGCCGCCCAGCCGGCGTACCACAGCCACGGGGGGGCACTCAGGATAGTGCTGCTGGGACAGAATGGCGTGGGCAAGTCGTCGCTCGCCTTATCCCTGGCTGGACAGTCGGACAGATCGCTGTCTATAGACTCTGAGACACAGGCTTGTGGTAATGGCTGGAACAGGGAGTGGGAGGGATTTTTTGTTTCTTAAAAAAATTGCTTTGAGGTTTATGTTAAGCATCCTTTTCAGCCTAAAAATCACTTTTAAAAGATGCCTAAAATAGTTTAAAATGTTCTCTCCCAATAGGCTAAACTAAAGGAAACATGTTGATAAGTCAATGACCAACTGACCCAACTGACAAACTGGTTCCCACAGTTTATAGGCTTCTGTGGCACGGAGAGAAAAACCATGTTACTAGCTCATTTTTATCTCCACTTTTATCCATCTGTAGCGTTAGACTGGTCAGAAAAGCTTAAATAGGTGGTGTCCTGGTGCCATGCCGTATGATCTTTGTGTGAAAATGGCATCTATTTCCCCTCTGATCTTCAAAGCTGCTTAAAAGGGTCTCTCAGTTCTTCATCCCCCCGTGGCCTCTGTCAGTCAAAGGGTGGTTAAGTCCGACCACTGAGTGGGACATCAGGAATAATCAGCCCTGGTCTCCAACTCTTCGGCCATCTCAATCAATCATTGTCACCAAAAGGTGACTTCTGTGGTAAAGGCGCAGAGCCAGTCGGCCCTGTGTTACTCAGCACAGCAGTCACCATGGCCCGTGTTTTTCCCGTGTTTCCCATGTGAAACAGCAGATATCTCATCCCAGAAATAGCACATTTTCTTATAGTTCTGCTCTTATCACGTCTGCGGATTTAAGTCATGCATAGATGCATGAACTACGAGCCAATTAAAGAAGTGCGACACAACTCTTAATCAACACCTGTTTAATTAGCTTCTGTTTTCTTAGTTTTTTAACACGTTTGTGACACTTACGAACAGATGCCTCGTGTTTCAGCTGTCAGCGGAGTAATGGCTTTGAAAAATACCAGTAGCAGCACTGAATTACACCAGTTCATTTCGAGTGCTTGCTCCTTGAAGCAGCCATCTCCGTTATCCAAGATTTTCTGGATTTACTGAAGAAACTTAGTTCAAAGAAAATGTAGAAACATCAAAGGGTGTAATAATCATATGAAAGAGATATGTTTTTTTCCCAAATAAGGAGCATCTAATTTATTCCAGAAACTAGTTCTGTGAATCAAACCATTGGTATTTTGAATCGTATGTCTTTGTATAATAAAACTATGTTGTACTTTATACTATATTGTTGTGAGAGACATCTCAGCTCTATCAAAGTCTTTAGAATGTACAGAAAAACGAGTTAGAAATGTTGCCGGCTTTTGGTCTTGGTTTTATTGGTGGTAACAGAAATAATCCCTGAAAAACGTTCAAGTTTAAAGCTATCTGCAGAAGAATGTCCTGGAGCCCTGGTTATTTAAACATCCCCACAGACACCCGGTTGAGGTATCAGGAGTAGGTCAAGGACATTTGAATGATTTAGACTGGTCTGTTACCAATTTAAGGCCGTGCCTGTAACTGCAGACACTTTACAAAAGCAAAGTTGGTTCAATTTCAGCTCTTAAATTGTGTATTCTCACATTTTTTGCCATGCAAAACACTTTACCATCATAATGAGCAGACATTTGATCCACAGAAGTAAATGCTGTGCTGATTGGTGTCATGTGTACATTTGGTTGCAGGTGAGGGCTACGAGTGCACGGTGACGGTGGACGATGAGGACAGCAAAGTAGTCGTTTACGACAACTGGAAACAGGTGAGTGACAGCCCAGATTTTTTTTCTTCTATCCCATTTGAGCCCATAACTCACTGCTTTTCATTCTCCTCTCACCAACCGTTTGGTGAGAATAGAAGGTTTATATTGAAGCATGGTTTGGTTTAGGCAACACTGTCTCCTAGCTAGGTTGTTTACTAAAGTGCATAAACTATGTAAGCTAGGGAAAAGGTCATGGTTTGGAGTTAGAGACAGTCTTTCATTGAGTTGACCTGCTGTAGTGAAAACTGTCACAAAAGGTTTCCCTCTGTGTTGCCTCAAGGAGTATAGAGTGTACGTAGACGTACGTAGTACGTAGAGATGGCCAGATATGCAAATAATCTGGCCTTTCAAACAAGTTTGAAAACAGACAAGTGTCAGCTATCTACATCCTGGTCTGTAGACCTTTAATAATAAATGAAGGGGTGCTCAGTTCCAGAGGCCTGGGGAGGATGTAAGCATACCTGGGTAGGAAATGTCAACGTAGAAACTGTCCTTAGGGGGAAAAGGAGAATTGACCAATTAATCTATCTACTTAAGAGTAAAAAAGTTGCCATATTTTGGTTTTTATGTGCATCTGCTCATGTGTTGATGCTCTAAACTGCACAGAAGATCCTAAAATCGCAGCAGTTTTTGTCTTTAGTTTAATTCCACATCAAAAATTGAATTTGACGGCTTATTTTTTTTGTTATCATTGTTTATTTGCTGCAGGCTTTTTGGACTGTAGGGGGGTGAATACTGTGAGAGGGGATGTATGTTTCCATTGCAAACCTGAATGACTCACCCAATGAACATTCAGGTGTGGGGGGGCGCAAAAACAAAGGGATGTCTCACGTTTTCCATTTGCTTATTTGACTCGCTGGTGATGTCAAATGACGACGTATGATCTCAGCCGCAAGAAGAAAGTTAGATTTCCATTATATATTGACTGAAAAGTGAACCCTCGGTGGTGGTTTTTGAAGCAGAAGAAAAGCTGAGACGCAGCAGGCAGCCGGGAAAAGCAGTCGAGATGAACCTTGTGACACTGAATGAATTATGCAGAGTCAAACAGAATGCTGTTATTTATGGATATTAATGATATGATGGAACAGCGCAGCACTGTAATTACTGTGCAGAGTGGATCTATTCCAGATGTCCACCGGCCCAGCAGGGGCCGTCTTCATAAGGTTAAATTATTCACATGCCGCTACATTTAACTCCAGAGAACTCCTCAGAAAAACTCGCTCATTTCTCCCCATCAGTCCTCCCTGCAGCTGTCATCACTCTGAAATCCTCCCCATCCATTCACTACATGACTTTATATTTGTCACTTTTTTTTTTTATTATTCACGCTAAAATCTTGCGAAAAGATAATTACTCGGCTTCAGGCCAATGCGGGGCGGGGCTTTTTCAAATGGAAGCAACAGACGTGGTTCTGTGGGAAGCCTGGACCCACTCCAAGGCGGTCAGCAGTTGTGGTGGGGGCAGAGGGGACTGGACAGCGGCCCACTCAGCAATTTGTGCTCATCTGTCTGTGCTGTTTTTTTTGTTTTTTTGTTTTTTCCAGTAATGCCTGTAGATTAAGGACATGTTCACATAAAATCCAAGCGCACGCACACACACAGAGTCAGGTGTGGGGACAGATGTCGTCCAGCTGTGTGACACGGGCGCCCGGCCTCAGACGTTTCACGTCTCGCCGCCCCCGGGAGGCCGGGGCTGCGAGCGCTCTCTCCGGGGCAACCCGACCTACAGCCGGGTTGCCATAGTAACATGCACACACATACAGACTCACACACACGCGTAGCCCGAATTAATCACTCATTCAGGCATAAAATCGTGCTTTAAACAGTCAGCATCTGACACTGGGGCTTCATCACACGTTGCCCTGCATTACAAACTGTGAAGAGGCTGGGGAAAAAAAGAAAAAAAACTGTTACACTCTCACTCTGCATTTGCTACTTTGAGTGCTTCTTGCTTTGAGCTGATGGATGTAAAAAAGCTGGCGTAAAATGCACTGAGGGCAGCGCGGGGCTCGGCTAACCACAGGTGGAACTTACTGTAAACGCGGGGCTTATAAATTCTCAGTTGGGAAAGACTGCCAACAGATGTTTGTGGATGCGTGCTCACGTTTCAAATGCGAAAAACACAACAGCATACGGTACACATGCACTGAAGAGAGAGTCTGCCCAGCCGAGCCTTGTGAATGACATGATGGGTAGCATGGTTTAAATAAGTTATCTCTGTTCCCAGAATAGAAACCCTGACACACTTGGCCTTGACCTAGACAGTCTGTGTTGTCCTGCTTTAGGATGAATTTGACTGCATGTTATATGTGTGTATTTGTTCTCTTCTTTCTCATTTGTTTGCCTCAGTGTTTGTACAGTTTATCTAGACTCTAGAATCTAGACTTTATTATTTGATAGCTTCAATTTGAAATATTTATCATTGACAACAGAGCTGCACTGCCTCGGGCAAAGAGAAAATGTGAGTCAGAGATGTTTGTATCTGTGTTCATCTGCATGCATTTAGGAGGAATTGCTGCTGACCTTTAAAGAATGGATGGTTTATTATGTTAAAGCACGCCAGAAAAAAACCCCAGGATGTAATTTGGAGGTAGATAATTGCTGCCGGACTACGTTTCGTTGCTAAATTTGGAGGGAAGAAAAATGTCACTCAGCCAGTTCTTGAAACAGATTCGGATTATAAGGTTGAATCATGTCCAGTAAAAGGAAATCCCAGAGCATGTTCCTCCTTCCTGTTTTGCTGTTCTGCAGTCTTATGAGAAGTGTTCTGCTCTACTTCAGGTTCCTAATTTGTTTCCTAAATCCAGATAGGTTATCACGTCAAAACAGTTTGGCTCGTTTGACTCAGTCTCCCATAAAATCTACAACTTTGAAAAAAATCTAACAGAATAACGCCGCCCACCCATACCTTAAAAAAGAAATCTCATTGAGTTTGAAAGCCCAGAGTAAAGATTCTGACAAAGACAAAATATCAAGTTTCAAGTTCACAGCTGGATTGTTTTTCAGATTATTTCTTATCTTTGACCTGGTGGAAATTCGCTTTTATCGACAGCTGCCATTTTAAGAGCAGTGAAATGTCACAGAGGCATTTGTGCTGTTGCCATAATGCGATCAGTTCTAATGCGATCCTTCTTCTGTTCAGTCCAATAAAGCCAGATGCCCATTTTAACTGATGCCTAGCCCAGCTGCTAACTTTGTTCAGCCTCTACCGGGTGCATCATCTTTACTGAGGAGGGAGGGAATGATGATGTTGTCTTCATTTATTTTTTCTGAGGTACTTGACACATGTTTAGGAGAACGGCAACTGGAATATCAGCATAATTACCCACTCGATTATGAAGAAACCAATCAAACTTTTAATCGAGTTAACCGTGTTAACAGCATACCACTAACAGCTGCTTATTTACTTAAGAAAACGTCAGGTGACGTTCTTTTTTAAATATTCTGCACATCAAGGCCAATAAAACCAAAAGTCAAATGTTATGTATCTCAAAGGTAGCATAATGATGCGCCATTGTGTTCAAATGGGAAATCCTCCTTTATCCTCCTCCACAGTGAGGTCAAAGATCGTCAGGAACAGCCTTCCTGAACTGGGCAGGGATTTGGAGATTTGCTAAAGGGCAGGCTGGAGGCTGAACTTTTGTGAATCTGGGTCATGTATCTGGGCACAATCGCTCCGATTCTGTATATCTGTTTGTTGTATGTTTGTGAGGTGGTTCTAAAGGCTTTGCAGCCATCCACGTGGTGCAACGCTGTGTTGTGATATGATGTCAGCTGTAATGTGGTCGTGCCTGTGTGTGTGTGTGTGTGTGTGTGTGTGTGTGTGTGTGTGTGTGTGTGTGTGTGTGTGTGTGTGTACATTTCCTCGGGGAAGCATTGTCTCCTGAGATGCAGCACAGTTGGTCAGGAAAAAGAGCAAACTTACCAGAACTGCGTTCCATCTGAGCTTCTTTATGCTAACGTTGACGCATTAGCCACTGCGCGAGGTTTGGCGCCTCCAAAGTTAGCTCCTCCCTCTCTTGGTTTCAGTCCCTGTCCCTTTTTCAGTCCCTCCATTTATCAAGCCAGCATCTTTATTGATCCGGATGCTCTTTCATGCCGTACTGACGGCCGGTCAAAATAGCGGATACAACACAAGCAGATGTGTGCAAAGGACATGTGTTTGCTTTTGATAAAGCCCAATGGTTGCAACAGTGTCTATATAGTTATCTGTGCATGTGAGCGAGTGTTTGTGCGAGTAGGTGGTTGTGTGTTTGACCTTTTGTTTCTATGTAAAGACCTTAAGCGGCTTTGCTGATATATCTGGTTTTGCAAGGCAAACAAAATTTGAGTCAATAGATTGAAATATTTAAAGTCTTTGTCCCAGGCAGCAATAAGCATGTTGCATCATGACGAAACATGCAACCAAAGTACAAACCAAAATGTTAAGTAGAGGTCAAATGCGTTTCATATTTTCATTTTTTTTCTCCCTTTACTGGAAAGAATAATATTTGGAGTGCTGCGCAGCCACAGCTTGTTATGCAAATAATGCCTGATGTGTGATTCATAGTCCCTTTCACTAATGGTTTATCTTGTGTGGGGCTTTTGAGTGCATGCTAATGTATGTGCGCAGTATAGCCAAGTGAGAACATTGTTGAAATGGTTCACTTTTTGCAATAAAGAAAAAAGTAAGCATCTAAGGTTATCCTTACAATGAGAGCTATAGATGGTCAACAACGTGGAAAATGAGCTTTTTCATCATTTACTTGGCATAAATATCATTTCATTCAAAAGTGCTCATGAACATTAACTGGATTCACAATCTAGCCTTGCCCACCGTAGCAGAATGCACGTTTTCTTTGTGTCCGCTGACTTTTATGGTTTGCATGTTGTGTTTCAAATCTCCCAGTATATCAGTGGATTTTGTTTCATGTTGTCGTCTGTCACTTTCTTACATGTTGGAAGGATTTCTACAGTAGTAAATTACTACAAAAAAGCTAGGTCGTAAGACAGCGAAGCAAGCCCCAATCATAACATTTCCACTACCGTGCTTTAAAGTTGGCATAAATGCTTATCTGAAAAATTGTCTTTGGCAAAACAAGCCTGTCTTAGATTCATTAGTTTGAGTGTTTCTTTACAAAATAATCCTGCCACCAGGATACAAAGGGTACATGAATACGAAGTGAAACTGGACTTTTTATTTAGGTTAGCTTCCATTTTATGCAGCTAAGAGCACTGGCACAGTTATAGCTCATTAGCCCATGCACACATAAAAGCTAATTTAGATATATGTGGGCCTGTAAATGACATGACGTGAGGCAAAACTAAACGTGTGAGCTGCTCTCACATTTATTTTCTTCAGTCTGACCTCAGCTCAACACCTCACCATCTGTCTCCAGACGTTTATGAGAGATTTTCTGACAAGCGAGCACGCTCTCTCCATGAAATCCATGTTTATAGATGCTAACCGCTTCCACCAGCTGACATTTTGAGTGTGAAAATAATTAAGAGTTCCCAGAAGCCAGTAACATTGACGATGCAAGGCCAAAAAAAGCAGGCCTTTCCCTGCACTCAAACAGCTTTTTATGTGAATGTGAACGGAAAGAAAAAGCGACAGAATTTAAAGCTGGGTTTGTTTTTATCTTTTTATGATACACTCTCATGAATTGGGATTGATAGCTGTACAAGTGCTACACCCTGCTCACATGAAAAGGGCTATTTTGAGACTTTTCTCTTTTTGTAAAACATGACAAAAGGATCATGCACCGCTTTAGGCTTCTGAAGGCTGTTTTAGAGAAAGAACAGCCAGCAGACTTTGCCCTATTATCATTTCTGTGTGTGCATAGGCTCTGATTTAGTCATGGAACCACAGAGTGTGCACTTGTGTACTTTCCCTCTAATGTTCTTTGTGGACATAGAACTCTTTTTCCTTCAGGGATCCTGTACAGGTCTAATTTGTGCAATCTTTCTGATTTTGACACCCAGTGCTGCAAGAAATACCTCAGGTTCTTTTTGCCCCTACCATCCTTTTTCCACAAATGTTCAACTCTCGGCCTAAATTTCCTGGAGCTGGCCAGTCATTTGACATAAACACAAGTGGATGATTTTGCTTTCATTACCCATAAAAACCCTCTTTTTTGGTGGATGAGCCTTTATTTCCTTCATTTCATCACTTCCAGAAACTGAAAATAATGAAAACCTTTTTTTTAAATCCTGCATATCCTGGGTCGGGAGCCATATTTCATTATTATTCAGAGCAGATGCGGCTTTTTCGACAGTGAGCTTAGGATTTTTATTAGTACAAACCCCATTTCCAGGGCGATTTCTGAAACGCAATAAAAACTTCGGGCCCTAGTTTTAACTTTCTTTTATGTGTGTTACAGCTTCTCCTCTCATAAAAAAAGAACACCACCAGTCCTATGGATCTTGGCATTAGCGTTTCCCTTAAATAGGAGTATGGAACCTGTTATAAAGTGGAGATTTTAGTCAAGTAAAACTTGAAAGTAGCAGCCTTGTTAGTCAGTTTTCTTTCTTATTAAAGGATTTTAATAACATTTATCTGGCTGCCCAGTGAGAACAGTGTGTATTTGCACATATATGAGTGTATGTAGGCCCTGCTTTTGCATTTGACTGCCAGCTCGTGTGAGTATGGGAGGATTAGGTATTGACAGATGGCCTGCTCTCCGTGAGCAGAGAGGAGCTGCTTAAACGAGAGGGAAAAAAGGAAAAGAGAGGCAGCCAGAGTTGGCACCGTCGCAAGTTTCTCTGCCTGCGTTTGGGAGGCACGTTTACTTACTCATAGTATTTCTCCCGGAGCTCTGCATCACACTCTTAAGCGATCCCTGTCTTTGTGCTTGTTTTCCTGCACAGATTAGTGTCCCCCTCTCTGTTTTTTTCGTTCCTCTAAGTCTTTGTTTTTTTTTCATTCCCCGCTCCTCATCCCCCCTGTCTGACGGTGACAGGTGGCCAGCGACTCCCCTCCCTTCTGCTTTTTTCCTTTTTTCTTTTTCTCATCCTGCCTTTTTCCTGTGTTCCATCAACAAGCCAAGGCTCTCTCCGTGAAATTCCTGCTCCGGGCTTCGGATCCGATGGTTCTTGGCCGCAAGAGACGTTTTGAATTTTTCAGGCGACTGAAATTCCCCGGAGGACTGGAATTTACAGTGCTTCTAGGGCTGTGGATGTAGGACAAGGGCATTCACGCGTCCGCACACACACATACAACACACACACACACACACACACACAATGCCCCTTCTCCGAGTTTATGAAGACCTGCTGTTATAATGCAAACCACACAGGAATTTTGGTCCCCAAAAAGTCAACCCCCCTCTTTTGAACTACATAAAAAATAATAATCAGGACATGAATACTATAATTGAAAGTGATAGATTCCCAGCTTACCGCAGCCATAAAATAGCCCTCAGTTTCTGCTTATGTCAGTGTAAACTGATCAAAGCTTCAGAATATTTCCTGGAATTGCCCACTAAAATGAACAAAAACACAGTAGATTCATTTTGAGGTCTCAGCTACTGTGATCTGAAACTGTTTCTCCCGCGTGTGTTTTCATTCTTCAACAGTGGGTCCTGTTTTCATTTAAGTGGCTGATATTGCATTGCAGTGTCCAGAGTCTGGAGAAAAGTGAGCAAACACGATACAGGTTTCAAAACGACTTTCCGACTTTATTGTTCCAAAAGGGTTAGTGATCGTTTGCTTTCATTTTGTGACAGCTGCAGACAGGCTTACATGTTCCGTTACTCATAAAGAGCATACACTCATTTTGAAATACACATTTTACATATCGAACAGCAAAGAGAACAAGTTGCTATGTGCAGATAGCTGAGCCTAAAGAGCTGCTTCACAGGAGGTGCAGATGCTCTACCTGTCTGTGTTGTGTCCATGTTAGTGTGTAAATCTATGTAATGCAGTTCAGAGCGAGCAGGCTTAATCAACATGCAGCTAAAAGCCTCTTGCAAAGAGAGGCATATGATCAGAATCAATATCTCACAAAGAGATACACTGGCTTATTAAACTACAGCTGAATTACTTTTGTTTGCATTTTTTTAGGACCATGTTTGTGCTAATCTACTGTGACACACAGTGGTTGGTCTGACATTGCGTAAGGAACCTTAAATCGATGTCCAGTCCACGTGAATAGAACAAACAACTGCTTTAGATTTTACTCTTAGTATAGTAGTACATTTGCAAAACCCTTAATTAAACAAGATTAAGAAGAAGTTATTATTGAGTTCAGCTCGCCTCCAAATGTTCAAATTTTTTGAATAAACAAATATGCAAGCAAATATTGACGTGTAAAATGCAGCAGTGCAGGAGTAAAAGTCTTTCCTTAACCCGAGCTGCAGCCACGAAAATAAATGAAAATGAATTCAGCTGACTGAGCGAAGAAGGCCGCCTCCAGGCGGTCCCGGTGCGCGCCGCTGTTTCTGCCAGAGCCACTTCAGCTAATGGGGCCTCAGCCACAGCGAGGCCCTGCCGGGCTGCTAGTGGTCATTGTCAAGAGGGTCAGATTGAAAGTGAAGCGTGATGCGCACACGGTCAAGTTTAGCAGAGCCTCCTCTGCGGGACAGCGATAACAACTCGACCGGCGCCCACTTGGCCTCGGCACCTAAACAGGGGCTGGGAAATGCTGAAGGACAAACTTTCAATTTGTTAATGGCTTGTAAAAGATCCCCGCTCTGCTCACAGAGTCTGCCAAACATCCCACACCTGCCGCGCTGCCACCAGATCTCTGCTCTGACCGCATGCTCACCTACTCTGTTACAGTACGGCTTGTATTACACATGTATACTTTCCCTCTAATGTTGTTTGTGGACATAGAACAATTTTTTCTTCAGGGATCCTGTACAGGTCTAATTTGTGCAATCTTTCTGATTTTGACACCCACTGCTGCAAGAAATACCTCAGGTTCTTTTTGCCCCCACCATCCTTTTTCCACAAATGTTCAACTCTTGGCCTAAATTTCCTGGAGCTGGCCAGTCATTTGACATAAACACAAGTGGATGATTTTGCTTTCATTACCCATAAAAACCCCTCTTTTTTTGGTGGATGAGCCTTTATTTCCTTCATTTCATCACGTCCAGAAACAGAAAATAATGAAAACCTTTTTTTTCAAATCCTGCATATCCTGGGTCGGGAGCCATATTTCATTATTATTCAGAGCAGATGAGGCTTTTTTTCTACAGCGAGCTTAGGATTTTTATACGTGTTTGTGTTTGCGCTCCGTAGGACTTTTCCACCCTGCAGTGCGATGTGTGCATTCTGGTCTTCTCGGTGACCGACAGGCGAAGCTTTCACCGCACCGCCCAGCTCCGCCTCCTTCTCAGGGAGTCCCAGCCGCACACTCCAATCATCCTGGTGGGCAACAAGAGCGACCTTGTCCGTTCCCGGGAAATCAGTGCAGAGGGTAGGTGGAACCGGCGGCTGTTTGCCAAACGCCCTCCCTTAAGATTCAATTCCAAAAGCTTTGCCCTTAAAACTCTAGCTTTTGCCTTTTGGAAAACCCCATGTATGGAAAAATTGTATTAGCCGGATTATTGTCAGATGCAGATAATAGCTTATCCGGCTAACAGCCGCCGCACTGCTTCTTGAGTCATAATCTGGCCAATCAGCTCATTCGGTTAAAAGGTTTCACACATCAGGGGCATGAAGAAATACGTGATCCGGTGCTCACTGGATCCTGCAGTTAGACAACGACAGCAGTGGGCAACAACTCATGTCATCGTCATTATTTATTGAACAAAAGATAATATGTGGAGAAACTAAACCGTCCCTCGATGAGGTCATAGGGATTAAGAGGAAAACCAACAACAAGGTACAGCTTTGAAATGAACTTGGTCAATTGTGCGATTCTAAACTTACCATAATCCCTCATATGACATTAAGGATTATTATCAATATGTGGAAAACTTTCAAGACTGTTAGCAATGCCCTAAAATCTGCAAAGGGAATGCTCAGACCCTTCAGGTGTGAATTGGCATGTTAAATGATGATAGTAAAATCGGAACCCTGAATAGTTTGATGAAGAGTGAAGAGTTTATGAGAAGAAATCCACCCCAAACATGATGGTACAACCACTTACATAAACTCCTGTGAACTGAAGCAACATTTTAAAGAGGAGTTGACCCCAATTCCTCCCGGATGACGTGAGAAACAACGTCATGGAGGAAACAATTGCTCCGTTCGCTAAAGGTGGCTCTGTTATTAAATCATGAGCTGTACTTCTTATTTCAAACATTGTCTCTGCGTTTTTCACAGTTTTTCTAAATAAATGATGACACAGTGGGATTGTCTGCGGGTGAGGCCCAGAATGCTTTTTTTCTTTATGATCTCATACATAAAACTCCACAACTGAAAGGAAGGAATAAGTCAGTGAATCTGGATTGTACTTGGAAGAGTTAGATTATCACTGGCCAGCTCTTTATCAGGTCTAATAATGACCAAAGACAATCAGACTAGAATTTTTTTAATTAGGGAGATTGTGGCTTAAGACTGATTATGGGTTGGGCTACTTAGTATGTGACCGAGTCGAGACTCGGTGAGGGCTTTTGGTGACAGTTATGGCCATGTGAAAGCCTACATTTAAAAGCTGTGAAAGCAGTTTTTGTTGCCCAGTAGACGTCAGATGACTCACAGCCATGGAAAGGGAAAAAAAAGACTCAGAAAGAAATCACTGGGGTGTCAGCATTTGTCTAAAAATACAGCAACCAGTCTCAGCTCAGTGAGCAATCTGAGCACCAGCTGCTGTTTCTGCCTGAAATCACTGACCCTTTATTTAACAAATTCATTCCAAAAAGAATCCCTACTATTAACGCTATTGCTGTTATTGTGACAGACAGCATAGAAAAAATAAAACCCGGCGTCTCACATCACTGCGACAGCAGCTAATAGATGGACGGAGGCTGCCCGGGCCCACTAGGGTTTAACAAACCCCAGTCTTCTGGGTGACTGACGCAAGATAAGAAACACAAGAAAACCTTCAGAGCACCCTTTTGTTTCCTCAGATTGCCTTTCAAGCAAATCATGGAATGGTAAATGGTGAATGGACAATTTGGTGTAATTACAGTTATCTGGTTGCTACTGATGCTTCTGCTGCAGTTCATTATGAGTGAGGGGGCTTTAGAGCCCTAAACGGAAGCGTGTATTCCATAAGTGCACTTATGCAGACATATCTGTACATTTTCCCAAACAAACAGTGGCAGTGAACAAACCGTGCAGTTACTTATTACCCTGGACTCTAGGGGAACCTTTTGATCAACAAAATCAGTTTCTTTTAATTACAACCTAAGATAAATTCTTTTTTTATGCATTCTCTGTAGGAGAAACATTTCTATCCGTTGTTGCAAAAAAGCTATTTATCCCCCTACTTTATTACTTGAATTACAGTAGTAGCTGTTTGGTTGTAATTACAAAAAGGGGTGTTTAAAAGAGCACAAATGGTTCGCTCCATTAGCTCAAGTAGTGCTGACACACAGGGAGATTAGATTACAAACTAAATAAAAACCAACATTTAGAATACAACATGTGTCTGATTTAGTTGCACATCTCTGAGCAGACCTCCGAAAAAAACCCAAATACGATCTAACAGCAAGTTCAAATCTGTTTCTGCGTGCAACAACTCAACAGCTGTTGGGGGAATTGTCGCCGGTGGTTACGGTCAGGTGACCCTTTAATCTCCCGCTGCCCGGGGCTGCCACCATCACGAACCGTTAGAGGAGGATGTTTAATTATGACAGGTGACAGAACCATGCGTTAGCTCGTCACTGTTAGCATCGGTGACATCAGAATTTTGTGTCAAAATAACTGCACGAAACACAAATTCCACACAAATCAAACGTCCCCATATGAGGACATGCATTTTTGCCTCTTTGTATCATGATGCCGCTTTACTTTTCCATCTTTGGCTTCATTGAAAACAATATCAGACAGTAAAGTCCGAGATCTAAAATAAAATGGTTCTGTACATTTTCCAGCAATCGTGTCTTGATCAAAGATCAA